TGTTGGGAAAGCAGCCTCGAACGCCGGGTTCAGTGCTAGATGAATCCGAAAGCCTTGGTACATTGTTCACCAAGTATGATGAGACGAGTGTATACTACATTCGGCACAGAGCACGGCAAGAAGCCAAAAAGGCCTTTGTTCACTTAGAGACTTCCCGCAAAGTGGCCAAGGCGTTACAGCGTAATGCAGCCCCTCTAGACACTGACTATAAGGTTGGTGATTTAGTTATTTACCGTCGGGATAACGTCCCTGGCAGCCCAGGTGTCGTGTGGTCCACGGTTAGCCGCGTCATAGGACGTGAGGCAGAGAATGCGTACTGGGTATTACACGAGAATATCCCTGTACTTGTGAACGCTAGGAAGATGCGCCCGGCTGATGAAATTGAAGTTGCAGCGCACCGCGTTTTGGCAGGAGAACCAGTGCTTCCGGAAGCCATTGTTCATGGACCGGAACAAAGGTTCCAGGATGAGCGCGTAGCAGACCCGGTCACAGCACCAGCGACGCCACGTCCAGTGGCTGCAGCTGCCCCGCTTACACCGGCAGTCGCGCACGATGTGCCTATGCCAGCACCATCGACGCCAGCGATGATGCCCGGCACACCGATGCCAGCGCCATCCACGCCTGCAAGGTTTCGCGCCAAAGATAAGACGGGCGAAACCGCCCGGTCGCGATCGCCAGTAGGAGGCCGTGATGATGCACTAGTTGCGGAAGAGATTGATCAAGTAGAGATCATGGCAAAAGGCCTGATAGATACTCAGGGTTTTTCCCCGGATGAGTGTCTGGCCCTCCTTCGTGCCTATGACCGCGACCGACGCGAGGCTTACACGCGCCCGCTCCTAGATGATGGAGATCCCGGGTGCATAGCCCTCGCGGTGGGAGTATATCGGCACGGTGGTCTTGTTGGTGTTTCTGGACCAACGCGCGAGAGACCGTCGTTCGCCATGTATCTCAACCACTACATCTTGCATCACAGTATGCAAGCCGGTCATCATCTCCCACAGTGGAGTAGCGTTCAGCTTACCAACAGAGGCGCAGAGGCCCATAGAGACCTAGCGAACACTCCTGGCTCGCATAACTACACTATAGGTGTGGGCGAGTATCGTGGAGGCGGCCTATGGGTGGAAGAAGCCACGGGTACAACCCCCGTGCGTGTTCAAAACACGACAATGTATGGCACCGTCCACGATACTAAGAACAAGGTTCTTAAGTTTCGCCCGAAGGACGTGCACATGGTCGCACCGTTTGTAGGAGAAAGATACAGTCTCTCCGCATACACGGTGAGTGATCTCGGCAAGTTGTCTAAAGATGACATACAGCTTTTGTCGGACTTAGGCTACCCCATATATAGGGATGCGCCCAACACCTTTGGCAGGAAAGGCGATGGGATATACACCATGGGTCACTCTGATCTTCCCATCGAGACGTTCCTAGAGCGCATCCACGAGTACGGGATTAGGGAAATCGTAGATTGCAGAAGCCATCCGTACAGCGTTCGGCATCCACAATACAATTGTGATGAGCTTTCCGCCACATGCTTTGCAAAAGGGGTTGTGTACAGTCACGCCCCCGAGTTAGGCAACAGGAATCGGGGCGGGATTGAAGCCAACCTGCAAACAGACCAAGGGCTCTGTACGATCGCTAGAATAGTTAGCGAGGCCCACGATGACTTTCACCGAATACTTCTGTTGTGTTCGGAGGCCAGTTGGCGGCGATGCCATCGGCGAAATATCGCCCAGCACATATGGCTCGAGCATTCGAAACTTGCCGAGCACATACGTGCTAACGGACTGCCAGAAGCCCATCCGTGTCACTACATTCCTGAGGAAGACGACGGACTGGCAGCAGCATCGCACACAGCTGCGATTGGCACGACTGTGCCAGCAGCTGAGCCCTCGGATAGTCGAGCGGCGGAATCCAAGGCCTTTGCTCTCACCCCAGATGGGGAAGACGCCATCGGCTCCAATGTCGATGCTGGCTACATGGCCTCGCTCCTGGATTACCACAAAGCCCCTGTTGAAGTACAGCTAGGGTTGGATGCTGCCATGAAAACTGAATGGCAGAAGTACACTGAATTCAACGCAGTGGTTCCTTGCACAGACAAGGAGTTCAAGGAGCTTACAAAGGCTGGCCACGTGTGTATCCCCACCAAATGGGTCCTCACCGATAAGAATGAACACCTAAAGGGGACGCCAGCATACACTCCCAAGTGGAAAGCACGCTTGGTCGCATGTGGAAACTTCGAGCATATCTCGAATGAGGAGGATATCAGGGCAGACAGCCCCACGGCCGAGCCGGAAGGCATAGCCCTTCTGTGTTCATGGGCGGTTTCATTGGCCCTGCGGCTCAAAGCAGCCGATATAACGAACGCATACTTCCAAGGGAAACCCCTTGAGCGCCTTCTCATTCTTCGGGTTCCTAAACACCCTAAGGGTGTACCCGATGCAGAGATTCAGCGAGCCGGGCATATGATTGCCCGAGTACCCGTGTATGGCACGACCGACGCGGGTCGGAACCTTTATCTCCGTATAAAGGAGAGTGCCCGAGAATTTGGCTTAAATGCCTCGCAAATTCTGTCAGCCCTGTACTATATTACAGGAGAAGGTGGTCGTTTGTGTGCTTGCTTGTGCACCCACGTGGATGATTTCCTGTGGGCTGCTACCGCCGAAGGCGAGCCGGCTATCCAGAATCTGCTGGATAAGTTTAAGATCGGTCGCATAGAGACTGAGAAGTTCCGTTTCTGCGGACGCGAGTATGTGCAAAGCGCCGATGGGACCATCAGTATAAACTGTAGGGACAACACGCGTGCAATTCGCCCGATCGATATACATAAGTCTGAAAAGGGCACGACTCCAGTCTCGAATGGCCAGCGCACAGCGTTGAGATCCGTCATAGGATCGCTGGCTTGGGTGGCCCGCGCCACGAGACCTGATCTTGCCTATAGGGTGAATGCCCTGCAGCAGCGTGTTACGACAGCCACGGTGGATACACTCCGTGAGGCAAACCGCGTAGTAGCACTGGCGTTAGGAGATGCGGATAGGCCGATCACGTACAGCGCTAAGTTACCCTGGAATACAGGGGAGCTGGCGATTGTCACGTTTTGCGACGCCTCCTTTGCAGGAGAGGCAAACCATAAGTCGCAGAGAGGTCGTTTCCACTATCTCACTTCCGCACAGTCGGCGGTGGACAAGAACGCGTCAACGCATGAGATGCACCTCATTTCGTTTTCCTCGTCCACCATGAAACGGGTTTGTCGCGCCACACTCCAGTGTGAGGCTTACTCGTTGCAACATGCCATAGAGCATGGAGACCGCATTCGAGCAGCGGTGCTCGAACTGCTCGGCAAACTGCCCCGGTCACAGAACTGGGAAGAAGTCGCCAAGAGATCGATGTTCCACCTGCAGTATACGGACTGCAGGTCCCTCTCGGATCACTTGACTGCGTCGATTCCAAAATCATGCGAGGATAAACGCCTCGCCATAGAGATGTCTGGACTCCGCCAAGGACTTTGGGAAGAGGACGAGCTAACGCACGCCTTGTACCATCCTTACGGCGACGAGTTGAGATGGATACCGACGCATTTACAACTTGCGGATTGTTTGACTAAGAGTATGAAACCGCTTCTGATCAATCACAGCATTGATCGCAACCTCGTTCAGGTGCTCGATGTGCCCGCGCAAGCCGCACAGAATACCGAGAGTACCGAAAGCACTCCGCTTCGCGATTGAAGAACTCAGCCTGGAGCCTTGAGTCGCCGCACTCGGCTCGGTTGACTGCGCAAGCTCCCGGTATAATCCGGTGGAGTAGGCTTGGCCCAAAGCGGTCATAATTCGAGCATGATTCGGACGTCACACTACAGATAAGACGGGTGTGAAATTTCCCTGTCTTGAAGCGCCGTGTTGACCTGTCCTCATGCGAGCGTAGTCTTTTGAGTTAGATCTGAATGCACCCTGTACGACAGACGTCTTGGGCTCAGACCAAAAAGTGCGCTCGTAGTGTGGTTGGACACTCACTAATCCAGTTCCTGCTTCAAAAGGATTTAGGGTTGGAGGGAGTGGCACGGTTGCAGTGCTATGCAGGTTCTGGAGCGTAGGCTTGAGGGAAGAGGGTTGGGGTGTAGGGTTTAGAGTTTAGTTTAGGGTCAGGGCATAACTTCGGGGTTTCGATGTGGTAGGGTTTTGCAGGGGATCTTGGGGTGTTGGGGTTTGGGGTGTTGAGAGCCTCTGGTTACGAGTTGAGCACAGGCGGTTTCGAATGTGTCAGTAATAGGGTGTGACGCAGGATTCGGGTCTCCAGGCGTGTAGGTTGTAGGTTGGGAATTGAGTTTTAGGTCTTGTCGGTTCAGAGTGATGTGGTAGGATGCAGAGCAGAGCCAGATGAGGTGCCCTGGCCCCTCTTATCAGCGGCAAGTGTGTTACGTCCGTGCACTCGCCAGGAATCGCCTTGAGAAGAAGGGACATTCGCGCTTCAGTCTGGTATCCATGTGTGAGCTTCTTGCGTCTTCCTCCTACACTTGCTTGTCGAGCGGACTTTCGCATGCTTGTCAGTGCTTCCTCAAGTGGGCTGACGTGCGCATACAGACGCTTCGACAAGAAATGATGGATAAGTCCTGCTTTTCCTGGAAAGATGAGAGCACATCTGCATTTCTTTGCGCACTTTAGCTTCGTAAACATTCTTTCTATTCTAGCATAAAAGCAGACAAGCTTCTCATGTTTTGCATCACGAATAGCACGGCTGCTCTTCTCCTTGTCTGAAAGGAGGCGAGAGCACTCCCTTTGCACAAAGAAACAGGGGCCAGTTTTCGCAGATCTTCGCAAATTAGAAGCCAGAATCCTATCTTTCAAGTCGCATTACAGGGCCCAGGCTGTCCTCTCACAGGAAATATGGGAGCACCATTATACTATGCTTTATTCGGAGTTATGCTTTCGCGAAGTAGGACTGCACATCCTATCGTTAATACATTCGTGTCCTTCCCCGTTGATCTTCACTAGAGCCAGCATGTCATGTCTCAGTCATTAGAAAGTGAAGCAATCGATATTCATGCATGTAATGTGATTTCATCTTTACTACCTCTAATTCCTTAGAATAAGGATCCTATTATTCATGGTACTATATTGGGGTCCCCTATTTTCGGAAACTCCCAAACATGTAACGAGGAGGCTTGTCTGTATCCAGGAGAAACTCCCCGGTCAACCCAAATTCTGAATGCAAAGAAAGCCTCAAAGTTTCAACCCTCAGCTATAAACATCCCGAAGCCCCAGCCCCAACAGCAAACTCCTAAAGTCCCAAATCCTAAAACGCAGGTTCCAAATCTAGCCCCGAAACCCCAAACCCTAAACTTCAAAATCCGAAACCCCAACACTAGGACCTGGGTTCCAAAGCAGGTGGTGGCCTGGCCACTCTTCAACTGTGGAACACATTGGCGGCCGGATCTCTCGCCTCGGGGTTTCAGGGGTCCTGAACCAAGGGGGTTTGGGTTGCTCTTGGGCTTTGAGAGGAGTTGGGGCTTTCAGGTTTTGGGTTCAGGGTTTTTTAGTGTTTAAGCCGGAATCCTCTGTTGGAACCTCTAACTGAGGCTGGAGTTTCCTGTGCTGGTGACTGAACCCCAGATCCGAACCCAAACCCGGAACCCTGGACCCTATAGATCCTAGTTATAAGTAGGGTTATAAGTAGGGTAACTATACTTATAACTCATCTTCGGGGACTTATAACCCTACTTATAACTACCCATGAACCTCCAAGTATTAAGCCCTGGACTAGACCCTAAACTCGGAACCCTCCGCTGAGAGCCTCGTGCTTGCTGTTCGGAGGCTGACTGCCTCTTGGCCATCGGATCCGTTAGCTTCATCGTCATCTACCTCACGTGCTCCGGCATCACAGAGTTCAGGGGTCCTTTTTCTAGCTATTGAGGCCCCCTGTCTTGGACCCTATAAACTGCGAAGGGCCGTCATGGAACCTTCAGGCAAAAACTCAACAAGGCCCAGGTTACGGTGCATTGCGTGCTGAGGTGCCATGCAGGATCACCCATCTTGAGCTGTGGCTCGATCCTGCTTCTCGGCTTCAGGGTTTGGGCGGTTTCTCCCAGCGGATGCCTTGGAATGAGTTAGACATTCTCATTCTGGCATTCCCTAAGCCCAAATCCCTCAACTAAACCCTTATAGCAAACCCAAAGCCCCTACCCACGAGCTAAGCCACATCGCCCCAGGCTCACGATCTTAGCCATTCCCTCCGCATACCTTGCCTCCGCGTTGCTGAGTGGGTCGCGGGAGATCACAGGAGCAGCAGGGGAAAATTCCGCCCCCAAGCCTTGAGTACGTCTAAGCCCGAGCTTCAACGCCGAAAGCCGCAATCCCAAGCTCCGCTATACAATTACATCATCAGCATGATCGGAGTTCCTGCAATCAGGATGCCACAGACCAAGTGGCTTTCACACCGGAAGCGCCGAACAGTTGGAGTTCTGCATCGGGGTTGAAGCCGCCAAACACACTAAACCCTAACTCACACACCCTATGCGCAAGCACTACGCCCATCCACACCCTCTTGATCCCTCACCCGACAGCCCCAAAGCAGTGATATTTGGAGTGCATACACTGTAAACTTACCACAACCAAGAATCTACCACGCAGAGGGGTTCAAAAGTCCAATACCTAAGCCTTCAACGCTGCAGCCACGTGAAACAGACGTCTCGAGCAGAAGCCCTTAGCCTTGTTAAAAATTCACCCAGAACAAGTCCCACACCGACCAAAACCTCAGACCCTCATGTCTCTAAGACTGAAAGCCTGCACCTTAAACCCCCCACCATGGCCCGTCTAACCGAAACCCTCAACCCTGAACCCTAAACCCTAAACCTTGAACCCGGTATAAAGCGTACCGTCGACCTACGGCAATGCAGGAGTTGCCTTCCTGTCGATCTTCCTCATCACGGGTCTGGGTGCTGATGTGGTGCTGGTCTTCGTGAACTTTTGGGAGGCCGCGGCGTTGTACTGCAAAGCGCAACTACTTCAGGGTATTCATGGGGTTGGGGGTTTGGGGTACTTGGGATCCTAGGGTTTAGGATGTTGGGTTCAGGAGATAGCCCAAGCCTATAGCACCCTGGATCTTACGCCACCCTACACTCCTTCATTCCTCAGCCCGAACCCTCGACTAACGAACCCCGAGCTCCCCCACGCTGAAGCAACAAGCGTCGAACCTTGGGACAGAAACCCAGGCCCAAACCCTAAACCCTAAACCCTAAACCCTAAACTCCTAAACGCCAAACCCTAAACCCTAGACCCTCAACTCCTAAACGCCAAACCCTAAAGCCTCGGCCCTGAATCCAGCAAAATCCCGGATTCCAGTCGACCTTTTCAAGGGCCTTGCAGCCCCCAGCACCAAACCCCACCACCCTAAGAGCCTTCAGCCCGAGCAAACCGGCCCGACTACCTGATAGCCATATGGTTGATGATATAAATCCTGCATTACCTTAAGGACCCTAAACTATGGAAATCATGGTATATTCCTTATTATATAGGGGTAATGCGGGATTTATATCATCAACCGTAAGCCCCTGTAAATTCCCCGAAGGCCCCAACCAGAATCCTCCGCCCCTCAGCAGCAGCCCTTCTTGAGAAGGCTTCGAAAGCTCGCTTCGGTAGCGACACCGCGGCCAGAGTCAAGCGACGGGGCTGCTTTTGTTTTGAGAGGCTTGAGTCTTTGCGGTTTAGGGAGGTTGAGGTTGGGACTAGGGTTCTTTGGGTTTTTGAGCACAATTCTCGTGGTTTTGACTTGGACGGTTTTAGGGTATGTTTAGGATTTCGGGGTGCGGGGTCAGGCTTTTTGGGAGATGAGCCTCACAGCTCGAGGGGCTTCAGCATCCTCTCAGTGACTGCAAAAGGAACTTTGAGTTTTCTGTAGGTTATTACATGGTTTATTAAAGGGTGTGTTCGCACGAGGGGGTAGGCGGATTTTAAATGTAGGTGCAGAGCCGCGATGTCATTTCATCCCCTTTTGAGTTATAGTCCGTCGTTGATTAAGCAATACAGTCTGCCCCAACAGCCTACTCTAGTTGTTCTTGCCCCCAAAGCCTTACAGAACCGCTATAGTCCTTCTAGAACTATACGGTTCAAGTCATGTCGGGCCTTCTATTCGAACAAGAGATCTTCTTGAAAAAAACGTGGCGGGGCCTGCAGACAAGGTTCCTCTACCGCAACGCCGGCTTAGCGTGCCTGGCGACCACCTTCACGATCCATGTCGGATTGGAGTTTAGGGCCTTGGGGTATGTGGCTTAACATCCAGAAGGCCGCTTTTGCATATGGGGTTTGTGTAGAGATTGGGGTACCGAGAGTAGGGAGCATATCTGGCCAACTCCAACTGTCAAGAGAACCTTTGTTTCGACTTCCAATCATGATTCCCTGCATCAGCCCTAAACCGTTAAGCCCTATATCATACCACATCCTCAACCCTAAACCCTACACCCTCAAGCCTAAACCCTAAACCCAAGTGTGCACACGAGACTGTTTGAGTCTGCACGCCCAAAACTACCAGAGCCACCAAAGCAAAAGAGCCTGTGCTTGGATGCCTTTTGCAGCCTAATATAGGGGCCTCACTAATTAGATTAGGGTTTTGGGGCCCGTAATACTACATTTATAACAAGGAACCCCCGAACCCCACAACAGTGTTGGCAATTATTTAGCCCCCTATATTGTGGTACACCCTGATTGTTATCAGGGTGGAGGGTGAGGGTTTAGGGGTTTAGGGGTTCGCGGTTCGGAGCTTAGGGCTTTGGGCTAGTGCAGGCCTTTGACTAATCGCCCCCCCCCTACCTCAGTAGTATGGAGTAGAGTACTTAGTAATATTTAGGCATCCGAAGACTACGCGCCTCCAAGAACGAGGGTTCTTGAATCAGGGACTTTCTTGCTTCTCTCCGGTCGCCTGGAGCTCCCAAGCGTATGCTCGACAGTGTCAAGCTCATGTCAAAGAACGGAGCCAACTCCTGAAGTGCTCGTAGCGCCCGAACTGCGCAACATCGTGAAGCCCGAAGCAGCCTTGCGCCCCGAGCACTAAACCTGGATCCTTTGATGCACTAAAGCCCTAGCAACCCTTATTTACCAACCCCGAGACCTCAAGCATAGGGGTTTGAACAATTCGTAGTAAAATGTTCTTGCAGGCCCAGAGATCACTCAATATGCCCAAATACCCTGCTCTAGTTGTTGAGGGCTCTCTGTTTCCTTAAAGCAAGAACCTCAAGCCGAAAAGTCGCTGAAGACCCCAAGCCCCAAGAAGGCTGGAAACTTGCCCTAAACCCCACACTTGCCCTAAACCCTAAACTGGCCCGAAGCCTTCAACCCTTAACCTTAAGCCCCTCTTCTGGGAGCTCTTTGGGGCTCCGGGATTTCCCGCTTGAGGTTTAAATTTTAGGGCAAGTTTGAGGTTTAGGGCGAGTTTGGGGTTTGGGGTTTGGGATGTCCACAAATTGTGAGAAACGGTTGATAATATAAATCCTGCTTTACCCATAATAAGGAATATACCATAGTTTCCATACTTTATGGTCCTTAAAGTAATGCAGGATTGATATCATCATCTGAAGGACGGCGGCCTCTTTTTTTGCCAACCTCGCCTCGGTCCTTCGCGCTCTGCGAGAGTTCGGCTTCTTCATGGGCCTCTGCCCTCCGACTTTCAGGTTTAGAGTCCTACTTGGAGGTTCAGGGGTAGCTATAAGTGGGGTTATAAGTCCCCTAATTAGGGTTATATGTATAGTTACCCTACTTATAACTACCCATGAACCTCCAAGTAGGGTCCAGGGTTTATGTGCTAGAATGATGGACCAAGTAAGGCTCATAATATAAGGACTCTGTATGCGTGCTGGAAGAGTTCACACTAGGGCTGGGGCGATCATTGATACCCCATCTCGCTGCAACTCACTGTCTGAGCTAGGCTTAGAGGCCTACAGTTTGTTGCCAAGGTATGGGTTTTGATGTACGGGAAGTAGGACCAGTCTCCTAGAGTGACCCAGCCTTGCGAAACTTGTCGCGAATGGCGGTATGCTCCAAGACAGGATTCCTACTTCGTTCTCAAACCCATTTCTTCCATCACAAATACGACGTGCCGAGCGACCTCCGGCGCATGCAGCGAATAGTGGGTTTCAGCCCACTTGCCAAGAAGTCTATGTTGAAACTGCATCAGCAACGATGTATCCAACTCGTAGACCCAAAATCCTTAATCTTGGCACCTGAAGCGCGAAATGCCGAATTACCCTCCCTCCCTCCTCTTTTATCCTAAACTATCGCCCCCTAAGCCTAAACCCGCCATCTCCCCGGATGGCCTCTTCGAGACGTGCTTCCGTGCCCTAAGGGTCCAAAGGACTCAATAATAAGGTACTTGGGCTTAGCTTACATTTGGTTAGTAGGGAATGGAGGAATGGGTACTACTATAATTACTATTACTACCATTCTTCCATTCCCTACTAACCAAAGGTAAGTTAGGAGAGTAGCTATGTAGGTTCATATTTGGCCGTGAAACCCGATGCTTGAGCCGTAAGTCCAAAGCCTCATCCGAGTCCGAGTCAAATCAGCTCCGTCCTACTAGGACCCGCTGAGCCCTGAACTCGAAAGCAACGTGTAAACGCTGAGCCCTTCAGCCGTAAGCAGCGTAAACTACATCTTAAACCCCTGGACTAGGTCCAGGTCCAAAGTTCTAACTAAGCGCTTGAAGTTTGAACCCCAAGACTCTAAAATGCACTCAGCCCCAGAACCCGCATAACCCCCCACCCCCCGCCTTTGCCGACACTTCAGCCAAAAGCCCCCAGAAAGCCCTGAAGTGCCACAGTAGGGTTTAGGGTTTTAGAGGAATTTAGGGTTTAGGGTATAGGGTTTAGGGAGTAGGGTTTAGGGTTTAGGGTAAAGGGTTTTAGGGAATAGGGTTTAGGGTTTAAGGTGGGAGTTTAAGGTAGGGTTCAGGGTTTAGGGGGTAGGGTGTCAGAGGCATCCTCGGAGCATATCTCTACCTCCTCGTGGGCCTGCCAGTACTCCTCATCCTCAATGACAAGCTGCCACCTGCCCGGGTTTTATGAGGGTTCAGGCAGGGTTTAGGCAGACACCCCAATGGATCCAAAGAGTGGATACGCTTAGGGGGGTTCCTATAAAACAGCCTGAGGTAGTAGGTTCCCAAATCAGGAGTTCTACTTTCTAGATCCTCCCAAAGGTCTGGACTGATCCGGGTTCAGGCTCGCAGAGTTTGCAACTCAGGGTTCTGAGACGTCAAACTGCAGCAGTGTGAGGTCGTGCTGCTGCAGCTGCAGCTGCTTCTCCTTTTGCTGCCGCTATCTGGAGGTGCTGGGACACCTATGCTATGCTTACTACAACGCATACGTACATGGGCTTGAGGGGTTTGTTGGCCTAGCCATTCTGAAATCCCAAACCAAGCCCTGAGTTCAATTGACTCTGGAGGGGACAAGCCTGTGAAGGAATTGTCTTGTTTAGGGTTTAGGGTTTAGGGTGTCCGGGAAAAATGTTGTAGTACAAGGCTTGAATAAGTAGTACTTTCGAGGTAGGGTCTGCATCCCATCGTCAGCCTAAATCATGCAGGTCCCTGCGCCATAGACACGAGCTTTCGTTTGCTTTCAGTACCGGAGGCCCTGCCATTCTCCATTCTCCTCACCTCCCAAACTTACGCATAAGACCCATAAGACTAGCAGTAGGAAGAAGTGAGCTGTCTCGTGACAGAGGGACTCTGTGGTCTCGAGTTAAAAATCCTAGAACTGCCAGGACAAAGGTTCGGTGTAGTTTTAGTTTTGTAGGAAGCTGATGAAGAAGCCCTGGGCCCATAACCCCAACAGAAAGTAGGATTCATTTAAGGAACCCCAAGAAGGGCCCAAGGTTACATAATGTTCAACTTACCCCATCAGCCCTCTTTCTGATCATCGGCCTCCATATTATTCCTAGCTACTCCCTACAGGGAACTCCAGAAAGTTGGAATATGGTTTCATGGTAGGATACCCTATAATTTACCATAGAAGGGTTAGGATAATCATATTCCAACTTTCTGGCTTCTACCTTAAACCCAAAACCACAAACCCCAGCAACTGCAGGGCAAGACCGAACCGGACGTGAAGATGAAGGGCCGCCTGAGCCGCCGCCTAGGCAACTGCTGCCTGCGCAGGCGCGCCGGCAGTTCCGGGTCACGGTTTAGAGTTTAGGGTTTAGGGTTTAGGGTTTAGGGTTTAGGGTTTAGGGTAACCTTCGGGTCGCCTGAAGGCTATGGCTATGGGCCGCGGACTCAATACCTTCACTTTGTCATAGTTGGGTAACCTCTTACATGTTTTTGGGTACTTAAGCCCAATAAGGATAGACATAAGGATAGACGTTTATAGTTTTGATACTATCCCAACCAAACTACGTCATATGTAGAACAGACATCTGTCGGCTGCCTGCAATTTAGTTGAAGTGTAACGTACCCCCCAAGCCCTTGTTAAGGCCCTATGCTGGTTCCTTTCTTGTTTCGGTCAGCTTACATGACGGCGGTTTATTGCATTTTCTTCGTTTGGCTGGCCTGATTTAAGTCCAAAGCCCGAACCCTAAGCCTCAAGTTCAAATTTCTGAAAGCCCTCCCCCCCCAAGTTCCATCTAAACCTCTAAGATAGTTACCCTAACTATAAGCCTGGTTACTGAGTCCCATGACCCTTTAAGTAGCCCTAACCCCCCTTATAGAAACTCCGGAGATCAGCAGTCCTCTGCGGCTTCGCAGGTGCCTGGTGGCTCATAGTGTGAGCTGCTTCGCCTTTTTCATCCTGCGCCTTGGCCCTGACGGCTTCAACATGGAGTCGTCAATAATTCCACAAGGTTGTAGGATATAGCACACTATACTTATTTGAGGACATCTTATAGTATACTTATCTAGGGAATTATTCCGAGCTTTACGGTCGGTGTAAAGGTTGGATATTGGCGTTCAAGGCTTTTGGCTGTCAGGATATATGGGTTTCGGTGAGGGCGTAAAGGACTTTCAGGGCTTTGGGCTGAAGATTTTTAAGCACGTGTTCACTTCGTCGAGGGCCTCCCACCCCGCCCCACGCGATGGCTCGAGCCCTGAGCCTCAACGTATGGAGACCCTGAACTTTAGAGTTAAGGGTTCAGGGTTGTCGGTTCGGGGTTGTGGGTTTAGGGTGTAGGGTGCAGGGTTTATGGCTTCGGCCTTAGGGTCGCGGACACCGTTGTGACTGACTGGCAGTCTCTGGCATGGGTCCTTTCTTTCTTTTCCGCGGATGCAAATGAGTCTTTGGAACCTACAGGCCATCCCGCAAACCCCGAGCTTTAACCCTATACTACCTCCAAACCGTAAGCCGCTAAGCCGTAAGTCTTTAAGCCCCAGAAGTTAAGCCCTTAACCCTGAATGAAACCACCGAGGATTGTCGCCGTCTTTGCGGTGTGGGTTGCTAACGAGATCACCGTCGATGCAGGTGGGGCCGGGGGGGGGGGGGCTTAAATAACGATGTAGGCTTGAGGGCTTGAGGTTCAGGGCTCTGGTTTCAGAGTTTGGGGATCATTGTTCCTCGAGACGTCCTGTTCCCAAAGCCTTCATTCTTGAACGCTCCATTGATCCCGACGCCCCGAGCCTGGATACAAAGTCTCAGCCCTTAGACCCTAAACTCTGGAACCCAGCTCCTCAATCCCGAACCCCAAGCCCTGACGCCTTAACTCCCCTAAAGGCACCCTTGTACCCCCTGAGCCTAAGCCCTAACAGAGCGAACCCGAGTCAGACAGACCCCAGGTGTCCCGCAGATGTTCCCCAGCGATCACAACCTCAACTCGGTCGAGGAAAGCATTTACGGGTTTCGTCAGGTTGCTGAACAACTTTGTTTTTGAACTGCAATGGGCTTCTTTGTATCGGTGAGGGTTCCAGGGGTTGTGCTTTGAAGGCTTTGGGGTTGCTTGGGGTCTTCCGGAAGGTTCGTTTCTAGGCCTTGGGCTGTTAGAGTGTAGCTTATAACTCTGGATGGCGCGCCCTTGGGAGTTCTCTGGTCATTTTTAGTCTTGCAGTTTATCATGTCTATCCGCATCAGTACAGTTCTGGCTAGCGCAAAAGGACGAACTCACACTCCAATACAACATCCTTTCCCAAGATACCCCGCTTCAAACGCAACATATATATGTATGTATACATATATTTATATATATGACCACCGAACCGAAGGATATTGGAGCTTCGCGGAAAGATAGCAACAGCTGGGAATATCGACGATAGTACACCAGCAGAGATAAGAATTCGACTAGTAAGTAGTGGTAAAGTTCCTGTAGCCACAGTAAAGGGTGTTCAGGACGGCGATGATCATAAGTTCAGTGTCGGCATGACCGATGCCAGGACCCTTCTTGAAAGGATACTATCGCATATCATAATACAGGATGCTCAACAGCAAGCGATATCATGGCTTCCCCGCCGTGATAGCACTCTTCTTCCCGCAACTCTAACTCTCTCAAGAAATCACAACAGGACTACTTGTAGTCCTGATCACCTGTGTCCCTAACATTAGCACACGCCCTGTTTGCCCTGCGAGAAGAGCAGGCGGTCGCGGAACTCTTCGGTGCCGCGGAGGAGCATTTCACCAACGACCAGATACGAGTCTGCAACTTCGTGCAGCTCCAAAGGCAGAGTCAGTGCCTCGGCCCCCCGTATGGGTGGTTGTCAAAATTAGGGCCCCTTTTGGGTACCCTCAATAATAGGTGCCGTACTGTACTAGGGACCCAAATGTTGGCGACCACCCATATATGAGATATTGTCCATATGGAGGAAAGCCTTCACCCCAAACCCTGAGATCAACAAGCCTAAAGCCCGTCAACGTGAAGGGATCAACATGAAGGAACAAGTTTAGCCGTAACAGATAAACATCTTGAATCCACAACCCTGAATCCCGTACATCCGCACCGCAACAGATAAACATCTTGAATCCATAACCCTGAATTGCTTACATCCGCACCCAGGTTCAAGAGCTGTGCAGTTCATCTCTGCCAGATCACTCTGGAGATGCCCCTCACTCGTATAGGCCGCCTACCAGACGCGGAGGCCCATTTCAGGGTGTGTTGCAGGGTTCATAGGAGGCCATTAGGGTTCCCATAATAGGATTCATATGAAGGAACCCTTACCCCAAGAATCTTAAACCCCCCCTTTTGGCCTCCCATCAAGGGTTCCCATGAGGGTTTCTGTAAGGCGCATGGCATTACAGTCAGTACAGAATTGCGCGCTGGCGCACCCCAAGTCCTTCTTCTAATTGTTAAGGCCCCTCCTTGGTTGCAGACCAGCCCTGAAGCCCAACATCCGAGACCCTAAAGCCCGAAAGCACTGCCCGCACGTGGGGCTCCGCCCCGAAGATTTTGCTCAAAGCCAGTTGTTACCATTAAAATCAAACCCCCAAAAATCAGGTTCTATCAGCTCCGGGCCAACAATAAAAATCTGCACCTTTGTCTCCCAAGCCTGACTCAAAGAACTCCTCGGGTTGACGGTCTAGAGTTTCAGAGTCTGGGGCTTTCCGCGGTTTGGGTTTTCAGGTCTCTATCCGTGGTGAGCAGTGCTGCTTTTGCCTGACAGGCGGAGAATAGCTCGGAGACCCCCATGGCTGAATGCGGCTGCTTTCCGACGACGAAGCCTTCCAGACGCTGCTTTTCGGTGTCGCCGCAGACCACGGCGCAAGTTTGGGTGCGAGGGAGGGAGGGGGAGACCATAAGCTGATGCATGAGAGCATAGCAGCAGTAACAACAGCTGAGTTTGCACTGGAAGCAATATTCCCAACAGTAGTGATCACAATGATACTAATCATACTAATCATCAGTGACCAATGGTCAGAAATACAGAATAGTGTATACCCGTGTATATGATGCAGTACATCTTCGGCACTCAAAGCCTTTGGCACAAAATCACAGGAGAGGTCCGATAAGTTTCGTTCTGCGATGTTCGGGGGCAGTCCTGGTGAGGGGTCCTTTTTGTTTTGGGGATCCCCCCCAAGTTTGCGTCGCTTTTTGGATAGGACTTCGGGCCCAACCAGGCACTGACGTCTGCGAGGTTTCGGGTTTACGGCTCAGAGAAGAGGACGTCTGCTACTTCTAGAGATTCTACAGGGTTCGTGGTCTACTTAAACCCTAAAGCGTTACGCATTAATGCCCCGACTAAACCCTTATCCCGCCGCCCTAAACACGAAGCCCGACATGGTCCACCCTAAACCCTAAACTTGCATTCCGAGTTCTCTGCGACAAACCCAGAGTTTCTGGAGCATTGAGCAGTATCTCTTCGAGGATGATGGGAGTTCACAGTTAGTAAGTGACGAGGGTTCCATAACGGTTTCCTTAACGCCACCTAAGGCCTCCAAATGGGGTATTACCGCAGCGACTTCGGGATTGAGGTACTGCAAACCCTTCTTTGGGGTTCCTCGTTCTAAAAAGTTCTGAAGGCCTGTCTGGCCTTCTAGATCTTGAACGCTCAAACTAACACAACAAAAGATGCTCTCATCACCGAAGCCGAGACCGCAACTTCGATCCCTAGCATTACACCATACTCCTTGCATCCTAAACCCTGCAGTCTCCAACACTGACACCCCTAAACGGATCAGGAAGTCCTTGTGGTTCTAGGGTTTAGGGTTTAGACTTGAAGAAACCCTTGTGGTTTGAGGGTTTAGGGCTTAGAGTTGAAGAAACCGTTGTGGTTCTAGGATTTAGGGTTTAGAGTGTTGGGCTTCGCCAGGTCACACCGCGCGTGGTTGGTGACATCCCAGAAGCTGCCCTGAAGAGCTGGCAGGAGACAAGTGGTCGCTGACTGCGGAGTGTCTACTTGGAGGTTCATGGGTAGTTATAAGTCAGGTTCCTCTAAAGGGATCTATAGGGCTATAGGGTTCAGGGATTAGGGTTTAGGGTTTAGGGTAGTTATAAGTGGGGTAGCTATACTTATAACTCACATTAGGGGACTTATAACCCTACTTTTAACTACCCATGAGCCTCCGAGTAGGTCCTGGGGATGGGAACAAGGGTCTCAGGTGGGAGTTTGGGCTTTAGGGTCTGCGGTTGAGGTTAATGAACCCTATAGACCCCTAAGCAACCCTAAACTCCCAATTGTTGGGAGTTGATCAGGTGTTGCGTTGGGTTCCTTTAAGGGGTCTTTAAGGGTTACTATAAGGACTATTGTACTATAAGGGTTTAGTATAGGGGGCTTAAGAATAGGGTGGGCTTGAACTTGGATTGCAGCTCCGAGGGCCTGGGGTTTCAGAAGTTCGCAGGGTTTTTCCCCCCAGCCCTTCACTCCAATCCCTCTGAAATCCTTTACCCCTGCACCCCTTCACCCTAACCCTAAACCAAAAATCCGAACATCTTCAAACCCTAAACCGTCTTAACACCACAATAAAGCAAACCACCCCTGGAGGAGAGCGATGGGTTCCGACAGTTCATCTTGGACGCAGCCTTGGAGGTCAACTCCTGGCAGGTCCGCGTTGTTTCCGGCGGATGTTGGAGGTTCAAGGTTCAGGCTCTCTAAGTTTCGGAAGAGAGGAGGTAGGGTTTCCCCAAAGCCCAAGGCCCAAAACCCGAAACCCCCAACCCTAAACCCCGAAGCCCCTAAACCCCAAAACCTAAATCCCTAAACCCCTAAACCCCTAAACCCTAAAACCCTAAACCCCTAAAACCCCAAACCCCCAAACCCCTAAACCCTAAAACCCTAAACCCCTAAACCCCCCTTCCTGAGTGCCTCTGCCCGAGGGGCCAGGCGCTCCTCCGGCATGACCCAAAAACCTCCAGGCCCCAGGCCCGAAGCCCCAACAGAATAGTAATCATAGTAATAATACTAATAGTAGTAATCATAGTAATCATAGGACTAAAAGCAATAATAGTAGTAATAATAGTAGTAATAATAGTAATAACAGTCATAATAGCAATAGTAGTAATAATTAGTAATCATAGGAACAATAGTAATAATAGCAAAAAATGGAAATAATATTAATAATAGTAACAATAGTAATAATAGTAATCGTGGTAATACTTGTAATACTGGCAATAATGGTAATAATAGTAACAATAGTAGTAACGGAGATAATGGTAATAATAGTAATAATGGTAATCATAGTAATCTGAAAGGCGTACCAGCTCTTGCGGGATAGCATCCAGCTGGGCTTCCCTCAAGCAGCCGATGTGACGGCCCCGCACTTCCTCAAGCAGGCACCCCCAAGCAGGGCAGGATTTCGAGGGTTCATAAGATCTTTTGCGGTCCTTTTTCATAGCATGTTTACGAAATTTTGTGTATTACAGGAACTTTCCTAGAGCTGTGTAGTGTCTTTCAAAGGGCCAGATGCGTTTTTGATAGATTTTTCTGGGATCTTTGGGGTATGTATTGGGTACGGCCCCCACTCAGTAATAGTTGAATAATATTCATAAATATAGATATATTCGTACCTTAATAGGAGCCCTATTCTAGACTCTTACTGTAAGGGGGCAGTACCTGAGGGCCCGGTCTTCCCTGCAGGGCTTTTCATGCTCAGGAGTCCTGGCTTGCAAAGACATTATACAACCCTTGGTGACGTCGTTTAGTTCGTCTCTTTTTGGGTCATGGTTCCTTGTGTGGAGATCTCCAGCAATATGCTGGTTGCTTACCTTCTAAGGAGTGAGGAGAGAGGACCTCAGCTGTTGGCACAAGCGCCCCGCGAGAAAGTATGACAAGCCCATAGTGCCTACTGAGCATCGCCAGGGGCCCAAATCCTTAGGAAGCCCACTGTTCCAGGGCGAGGTTTTCAATAGCTCTGTGTGACTCTTCGGCGGAAAGGCCTGCTTGAGTATATCTGTGGGGAAAGAATCCGAGTCTGCAAGTAGGGTCAAGAGAGAAGGAGTCTACATTGAACGCCTTCTTCTCTCACTGAAATGTCAATGCAAAGCTTTCTTCTTCTTTTTTTCTGGACTAGGATTGGGCGTCTGCTTCTGGGGTTTCGGGTTGATGAAGAAGCATCATATAATCCTAAACCCAAACTAAAGCTCGAAAGCCTCAGCCCCAAAGCCCCAGTGCCCAACTTAACCGTAGACTAGACCCCATACCCCGAACTCAAAACTCGTCAATCAAAGGGGAAAAGGAGCTTAATGGGGACCCCTACCCTAGAATGGGCTATATTATGATGGGTATATACTACTGTGGCTGTATTAAGGGTACACCCCTGGGGGTCCTTATTAAGGGTCCCTCCTTTTACCCTTGGATTCAACTTTAAACCCTAAACAGGAGTTCTGGGAGACCGGTGAGCAGCTCTCCGCCAGCTACAACGTGCTTCCGAGTCCCTAGGATGCCTCAAAACGTATTATGTACTGTTCATTATTCATATTCACATTAATATTAATATTTTTCTGTTTATTTTTTCTATTACAGGTTTCCCCAGAACCTTCTTGAGGCATCCCTAAGCCCCGAGCCGTAAAGCCAACCGCCTACACCCCAAAAATGAAAAGTTTCGTGTTTTGAGGGTCAGGCCTGAGGCTCAGCTAAGGTCAGGTTAAATTTTGGGGGGCTTGGGGAAGTGGCCCTACGATTTTCATTACCACTACGCTGATTTTATAGTTTGTATCTTTGTTGCTTGCTTGTTGTGGATATGTATGAACACTACCGTTATTCTTGCTCTTGTTCTTATCATTCTGGTTAACAGATACCAGTATTGATACGGTTGCTGTTGCTGTCCTTCTTTTGCTTTTCTTCTTAATCTCAAAGCCCCATACAGCGCATGAAACCGAAGCTTCCGCAGTTCCAGGCTCCAAGCCACACCCTCCCATCATCCGAAGGGTTTCGGATCACGAACCTTTACAGTATAAGCCAAAAAGTTGGAAACCCAATAGCCTCAAAATAAGAGTAATGTATAGGGAATCCCAGCACCATTTGGCTAATCCGGTTTCCAACTTTATTGGGTTTACTATAGGGTTAAGGATTTATGTGAACAGAAGCGTCATCTAGGAGCCTGAATAGCCAGCGACATGATTCCGTTGCGTGTATAACTATGTGATAGCATACCCCAGAGCCGTGTTCGAATTGAAAAGGGGTGTATACTACAATCCTACAATGGATTTGTATGAACTCTAAAGAACGCCAGGCTTGACCTAGGATTTACAGGGACGAGGCCGAGACTGAAGCCAAACCACCCGATGGCACAGTCGTCGTTGTCTGTTGGTGGGAGCGAGAGTTGTGGTGGCGGTGGCGGTGGGTGATGGTGCCGGCGGTGGAGATGCTGCAGCAGAGTTCGTTTTTCATTGTTGTTTGTGCTGGTAGCACAGTTGGTTGTTACTGGTGACACTAGATGATGAGAAAACCATGGCAAGCATGGTGGTTGTGGCTCATCAGACTTTGGAAACTTTTGTTGACTTTCGTGCTTCTCGGGATGTGAAAGCACCTACCTCGCTTTGTGGAGGTTTCGTCATCCCCGTGACGATTCCGCATAACAGCTCTGCTGTGGAGCTTTGCCATGCGGAGGAGATTTGCTACTGCCGCAGAGCTACAACAGCAGAGCGTTGGTTGTAGCATTTCTAGCGGGCTGTTACACATGCTCTCGTAAGTATAGTTATATTGCGATTGCAGTGGGATTTCTTCGATTAAGTTTTGACAATGGGAGTTTGGAGCATGGAGACTTTCGCGCATGAGCTAAGCCTAAGCTGCGTTTCTGGTCGGTCTGTTGTGGCCTTTGCAGAACCCTTAAACCCTTCACGGGAACCCCTCAAGCAACCTCGTTCTAGTTCTTAGGGCCCCTAGACTTCAATGCTTACCCCTAGTGCCTCAGGTGGCGCCCCCGTGTGCACCTATGCCGGAGAGCGCCTGGTAGATCCGGCAGCCTGGCAGTGGTTTTGAGGGAGTTTAGGGCTTTAGTTTAAGGGTTTAGGGTTTTAGGGAGCTTAGGGTTTAGCCCAGGCCTAGGGTGTAATCAGCTTCATGGTGAGGTTTAGTTAGGTTTGCGAGACATTTGCGGTTTCATTGCTCAAGGGTTCTAGTGGCCCTGTTCGGAGCAATTTAACCAGTATTTCCTGTGAAATTCAAGCGGCACACAACCGTTGTTGTCAGTGTGGTGATGTGTGCCAGTGCATGAACTGTGCCAAGAATGATCGCTGCTTTCTCCCGACACACGGTTCTAACTACAAAATCCCTTGCAGCATACTTCTGAAGCCTTAATGCCCAAGCCCTAAACCGTCTAACTCCACCATGCCGAGCACACCGCTGCCCTGAGACGAGGTGATGCCCAACGCTTCCTGGGACCAGGTACTGATTCCCGTGCCAGAGACGTCCAGGCATCGGCTCATACGGAAGCTTACATAGTTGCCAACATTATTCCTTAGGGTTCCTGATTGTAGTCATAGCATGATATGCCCTAAAACCCTATTCTGTAGACTTGCACGGCCCTACGCGCGAAACCTTGAACCCAATGCATCAGGCCTCGAAGCTAGAATCTAACCCTCGAACCATCCGAACCCTAAGCCCAGAACTGTAAGCCCCACACCCTAAACCGTTAACCCTGGACCCTAAACCCGAAAAGCAACTTGAAGCCTGGGTTTTTAAAGCTTCCACTTTTTGTCAGGAGGCTGGAGGCAGGGGAGGCGGCACATGTGGCTGCGAGGCATCGGCAGTTTGGGGATGTTGTTAAGGGTTTTGGCTTTATTAGTTTAGGGTTGAGGCGGGTTGCCGGATTGGGACCAAGGCGATACTCTTGCAGTATTTGTACCTCAGCTTTAAGACTAGGCATTCTTTTCACTTTTCAAGTAACCAGGGCATTACGGGGTTTTCGGGAAAAGGGGGTTCAGGGCTTAGATTGAAGCGAGAAGCAACGCTGGAGTCCCTTCACGGCCTCGAGGGACGAGTAAGAAGTATAGAAGCCTGAATAAATAGCTCCTAATACGATGCCTCAGGGTTCCCGTTCTATGCCTAGGTATTATAAACGGTCATATACCTCAAGACCCTGTTCTCACCGACAGCTGTGTCGACCCCGAGTCTTTTCGTTTCAGAGAGGACCAAGCCAACAAACGATTAATATAGGGGCCTAAATAATTACCTCTACCATGCTGGTGCTCCTTCTTCTAATTAGTAAGGCCCCCCCATATTCGAATTTCGACGTTTCTCTGACAGACTGCCAGCGCGCAACGCTCGGAAAAGGTTTCAGGGTCACTGCATCAACCCTAAACCGCAGTTTTCCTCTGTGGACAGGGCAGGAGCCACAAACACTTGTTTCCGGTTTAGGGCCAGGGCTAGGACCTGGTTTAAAGATTTAGGGGTGTAGCGGTTCAGGGCCCAGGGGCCGAGGAGTTTAGGGGCGGGGCGCACAGGCTACCAGCGCCGGTCAGCAGTGGTGGTCGGAGCTTGTCCCCTGGCTGAGGTCTTTTCCCGGGTTTTCTGGGCTGAAGGGTTTTCATTTCAGAGCTCGGGCTCCAAGCATGAGACCCGTAAGTAGTGGCACCCAAAGCCATGGTAGTTATGGGGCAGCAAAACCCCCCTGGTCTACTTACTTACCTTTAGACCCCTGAGCCCTTGTAGCGTAAACCCAAGAATTCTTCTCAACCTCTAGAAACCTCACAGCACATGTATCAAGCTCTTGCAGACTCTTATCGGGCCTCTTGAATCCTCACGGACCTATCGAATCCTGTAAAACCCCATGGGGCCCTTGCAGAATCATGTAGAAACCCAAACCTATACAAAAGCCGCATACACACCCTTATTGTAGACCATACAGAATTCAATTGTGTAGACTTTAGAGAAGCCTGTCGGACCCTACAACAGCTTGGGTGCGGCGTTTTTGGTCCACAGAAGGTTGGTCTGAGGGCCTTTCAATGCTTCAGGGTTGTAGAAGCTTTAGGGTTTAGGGCCATGCGGCGTTGGACAATTTAACCAACAACAAGCTTCAAGCACTAGTTTGCACCAGTCATGTTTTTTGAACCCTAAACCCTAAACCCTAAACCCTAAACCCTGAACCTTCGATCTCCAACAAGCAGGCCCGTTGCTTACCTTTTGGGGCGAGGAGGCGGCCGCTGCTAGAGGGCAGAAGCTCTAGTCTAGGGCCGACAGATAGTTAGCTAAACAACTATTTTGGGGGCATGGTTTCATATATCCCAAAATCCCTTTTCTAAATTGTAGGGCCCACTTGGGGTTCCTTATTGTACGTGATTATGGTGCTATATACCCCGAAACCACATTTCATCATGGGCCCTATATTAGTCTAGCGATTAAAGGCCCCTCTGAGCTCAGGTCTTCTGGTGTGGACGTGGCGGTCGTCTGGGGAATTCTTGCTGCTGATCTGATTTCTTCCTTACCCTAAGGGCTTCGTTTTAGGGTTTAATAGCCTGACTTTACCCCAAGAGTCATCTAGATCTAGTTGCATGATTGGCAGAAATCTGGTTGATAACGTTGGATTTCTAGATCAGCTGGTTGGTGAATGGCAGTAGGTGGGGATTCCGAGGAGTCTCTGGATTTAGAGCTGTGTGTCTTAGCGGGGGTTTTTGGAGCTTCGTGGCCGGTGTTGATCGGAGGGTTTGGGGAGCAGGTCTAGTGTTACATATGGGTTTAGGGCTTCCGGGGCCAGGGCTTCCGAGGTTATCTAGAGCTTGTGGAGTTGGGGTGTAAAGGCCAGCTCCGGGCTAGGATTCGGCTCGCGTGCCTAAGACTGGGGCAAATTCGGTCTTGGAGAACAGAGGGTTTGAGGTTTCTGCAGAGCAATACTCGGACCTTTGTGTTTGGGAACATTGGGTTGAACTCCTCTGATGCTTGCTGCGAGAATTCTGCCGTACCGGTTCAGCTCCTCCAGTTAACAATAGCAGCAGAGCAGACATTTTCAGCATTCTACACCCTGAACCCTAAACCCTAACCCCTAAACCCTAAACCCCTAAACTCTAGACCCTAAACCCTAAACCCTAACTAAACCCTAAACCCCTAAACCCTAAACCCCTAAACCCTTAACCTTAAATCCCTAAACCCCTAAATCCTAAACCCTAAACCCTTAAACCTTAAACCTCCCACCCATGATCAGGTCGAGGATGGCTCACCCTTGCTCGGTTCACGAGAGGCGCGCCGAGTCTCGTGGATTTAAAAATCAGGGTCTCGGGGTTCGGGGGTTTCAGGGTCTCGGAGTTTGGGCTTTTTTGGGATTTACGACCTTAACTGTCTACATCAGCTCGAAGCGTATCAGAATTATCCTATAAACCCTACACTCCAACTCCTTAGACGTCAAGTCCTAAACTTCCAAAGCACCCTCATTGAATCATGCACCAATATTCCTGGGACCTAGAAGCCCTGAATCGAGCAACCATTCGCGACCCTAATTCCTAAACTCCCAAACCGCAAAACCTCAAATATCGAACCCAAATCGAAGAACACCCAATCCGGCGAAAACCGAAATCTCCAAACCCACCTCAAACATACTATACCTGTTAAACCTTCAAGAATCCCAACGCCTACACCTCTAACCCCCAACCCCTAAACCCTAAACCTTTAAACCTGAAACCCTTAAACCCCTCAACCCCCAAACCCAAGCCCTTAAACCCTCAAACCCTTTAAGCACCTAAATCCCTAACCCTTAAACCCTCAAACCCCTTAAAGCCCTTAAACCCCAAGCCCTCAAGCGAAGCCCAAAGGGTCCAAGGTACCTATATGGTAGAATGTAGGGTTTCTATATTAGGAAGTACAATTATGGTTTGGGGAAGTATCCCCCATAACAGTACCTAGGACCCTTTGCGAAGGAGACCTGGTCCTTCAATGTAGCCTTCCGGCCGGAGTCACCCTTCACGCAGCGCACGCTGCTTCAGACCTGTCGGCAGGCACGTCGGTTTGGGGTTTAGGGTGTAGGGTTTAGGGGTGTAGTCCGGGGTTTAGCTTGGGTGAAGAGGGCTTGGAGTTTAGGCTTCAGAGTGTCCGGGGGAAAGGGTTTAGGGCTAAGAAGGTCTGGGTTTAGTAGAGGTTTGGGGGTTTTGGGGTTTTAGGCTTTGGGGGGCAGTTCAGGGTTTAGGGCAAATTGGGATTCTGGTCGGGATCCACGAGGCCAGTACTCCTGGTACACCGGGTCTCCGTTGACCTTCTCTCGCCAGATTGGTAAGCTTCGTTTTTGAGTCATTCCTCAATGCTACAATCGGTCACGCGATTCTTGCGACCACCTAACATCCGCAAAGGGATCCTTGCATCAAGGACCCCTTGTACCGATTCAGGCTCAAGCCCTAAATAGTAGGATCTTTCCCATGATTCCTTCTCACACCCTTTAAGCAATCCCAAATCTCTAAACCCCTAAGCCCTAAACCTAAACCTGTATACCTTGAACATTTTCCAAACCTTTGAACTTAGATGTTCCAAACCTTTGAATCTAGATGTTTAGAGGTAAACCTCTACACCCTAAGCCCCTAAACCCTAAACTCTAAATACCCCGAGCATTTTCCGAACCTTAAACCTCTAAACCCTTAATCCTATACTTTGGGTACGGCCCCCACTCAGTAACAGTTGGATAATATTCATAATATAGTTATATAAGGCCCTTAATAGTAGCCCTATTATGGACTGTTACTGTATGGGGGCCGTACCCAAGCTATACTTATACATCGAAAGTCTCTAGACCTGAACTGATCATGGGACTTGTGCACTGAGAGAGGCGCCTTCCCAACCAGAGCTCCTGGTCATTCGAACCGTCTGCTGGAGCCTTGCTGATGGTGTTCGGGGTTCAGGGTGGAGGAGTTTTCGAGCATGAGGTTTAGATTGTTTGGCCGGGCGGTTTAAGGTTTAGGATTTAGGGTTAAGGGCTTAGCGCTTAGGGTTTGAGGTTTAGGGTTTAGTTTTTGGGGGTTTCAGGTTTCAACACTTGGGGGTCGAGCCTGTCTAGACCTTTGCCTCGTTGTGTGGGCACATTGGGCATGGGTTTAGCCTGCAGATCAATTTTGAGAATGGGTGGAAGCTCGAGGGTTCGTAGGTAGGGCTTGAAGATTGCTGTCTGGAGTGCTGCGGAATCCCCGAGCCCCCAAAATTCGAAAGTTTTGGCTATGGGGTTTCTGGCCAGTTGCTGGCAACTCTAAGCTTGCTCCAAACAAGAACAGGGTTTGGAAAATGGCCTTCAAGAATGGAACCCAGACTCTAATGTAGGGGCCTTAATAGTTAGCAACACGAATTTGGGGGCTCCTCATTATGATTGTAGTTTATAATACCCCAAAACCCTATTCTAGTTATCAAGGCCCCTATATTATAGCCGTGATGGCCAGGATTGAGCAGTTCCGGCAGTTTGCTGCTGGCAAGGACACGACGACATGTGCCGGTTGCTCTTACTTGTTGCAACGTAGGGGCCGGAATCATTACGTATGCAATGTTTGGGGCTCCTTATTATAGCTATAGTATAATAATGGGCTCCAAAACCCCATTTTAATCATTAAAGCCCCTATATTAATAGCTTTGCTATATGCCCCAAACCCTGATTTACTCATTGAGGCACCTACCAAATTTTATTCAGTTTATGTAGGAACACAGTTGCCTTATAAAGTTGTCATGACAGAAAAGGCAGCTTACCTTAGCCCTGCAAGCCCGTGGGTTTCTAAAGCACCCTAAAACCTCACGCCTAAGCCCTCCTAAGTCCTAAACCCTAAATCCTAAATCCCAAACCCGAAATCCTGAATCCTACAATCCTAAACGCTAAATCCTAAAACCCTTAGCCCTGATCCCTCGCCCTCTCCAGGATCGAAGTAGGAAGCCCCAAGTCAAACCCTTGGACCCAAAAACGCGAGTCCCAGACCGAGTTTAGAACCTGAAAAGACTAGGTTTTAGGTTGAGGCTTAGGGTTGAGGCTTAGGTGTTTACGATTGAAGGTTAGTTTGGGATCCAGATTCTGGAGTTTAGGGATTTATGGATTAGGGTTTAGGATTTCGGGTTTATGCCTACCCTGAACCTCAAGCCATAAAGCCCAAAAAGGAGCCGGAAGACCCGCCGCCAGGACCTGCCATTTCCGGTGCCCAGCAGCGTCTTCCAGCAGACCTTCGCCGAGTTCGTGGACGGCCGCGTGCTGCCCAGCGGGTTTCTGGCAAAGGCGCGGTTTCGGGTTTGGAGTGGTGGTTTTGGGGTTTGGGCTTTTGACTTCAGTGCTTAAGGCTTTGGAGGCCTGTGGGGGCTTGTTGCTGAACTGAATTAGCGGTTTGAAGATGCTAAAAGAAGGTTTGACGCATGGATTTCGGACAAGACTCGGTCATCTTGTTGCATCGCTGCTGCGAGGAATGTTTTGGGAATCTTGAGGGTGCGGATGCTGAGGTCAAAATGCCAACATGTCTGTGTGAACAGCGCGAAATGCGACCACAAAACTGGGTTCACACCCTAAACCCTAATGTACTGTAGGGGCTTAAATAACTACCAATACTATTTCGGGGGTTCCTTATTATAATTAGAGCATTATGGGCCCCAAAACCCTATGCTCATTATTAAGGCCCTTATATTAGGAACCTGATTAAGAAACCTTGGGTCCTTTGTGGGGTTCTAATATGGATCCTGATATATTGGGGTTACAGGGCCAGGGTTTCTTCGTCAGGTTCTTACATTACACCTCAAATCCTACGAACGACTGACTGAACCTGAATATGGATGGTCGTCAAAATTAGGGTCCCTTTTTGGGTCCTTACTATAATACGGCGCCTAAATATTTAGGGTGCCCCAAAAGGGACCCTAATTTTGACAACCACGCGTATCCCAAGTCCCCAGAAGCCCTGAGCTGGACAATGACCAGGAAAGACGCCGCAAATTCAATTTGAGTTTAGGTCCTACCTTAACCCACCAGAACCGACTTTTTTGTAGGGTCCCTATAAATTACATATTAGGGTTTATGATAAGAAACTACAAACATGTAGGGTTTGGTAGGTTAACGTATAGTGTGGGTCTGATGGTACAGTCTACGAGGAACGAAACTTTCGATTCCCTACAATTCAAAAGCATCCGCTTATCTGACCAAAACAGAAAGAACTTCAACCCACACTCTAGAAGCGGCTATACCTGTAGTAGACTAGACTCCAAAACGCTATTCTAACTTTTTAAGACCCCTGTGCTACCCGAAGCTGGAGATCCACAGATCCCAAACCCATAACCCGCAACCATGAACTCTTAACCGCTACGAGCCCCAAAGTTGCATGTTGCATCTGTTTTGGGTGTTGGGGGGGTTGTATGTTTCGGTGCTTCGGGATAGAATTTTAGCGTGCAGGTTTTGAGTTTTGAGGCCTCAGCTCTGAAGTGGTGGGGCTTGAAAACTTCGGGGGGCGCTCTGGTGGGTGTGGTGCTGAAGTTGTAGAGACTGCGAAGGAAGCAGACATGGGGGCACCGGTTCTACGACCATGATGACCATGATGTGGACGTTCATGTATTGATTGTTCGGATAGATACCGACATGCCCACAATGGGGTTTAGACGCTACGTTAATTCAAAGCGCAAGAAACCTAAACCCCAAATTGTAGAACGCACTAGAACAAGCCCTCCGAGCCCAAAGCACCTTAGAGTGATCCCTGAGCCTTCAAACCTCCGAGCAGTCCAACAGGAATTTATGTGGCTGGGGCCAGACTTCGAGCTCAGGGCGACCTTCATGCAGTCGCTTGGCTTCCAGAGTTTACGTTCTGGGGTTCAGGGTTCAGCGTTTAGGGTTTGTGGATGAGCGTTCAAGGTTTCGGGTTTAGGGTTTGGTGTTCAGGGTTTAGGGTGTCGGGTTGAGGGTTTGCAAATCCTGTAAAGTTTAGGGTTGACAAACTCTGCATGCATGTAGCCACTGAAAGGACAAGCGATTGCTCTCTTGGGTGCCCCACCTCTGGGCCTTATCCTCAAGACCCTAACTTGTTTTAGAGTCTCAGGGGCAGGGTTAATGGCTGCTTCCCCGAGTCATCCCAATGCACTCCACCTGGAGCTTCGGCTATGCGTATCATCCACATTAACTTTCCGAAACCCTGAACCCAGAAAGCCGTAGATATGTAATGCCACGGTAAGTTCAAGTTCAAGTCCTAATCCCAATCCGTAAAACCCTAAACCCTGAAATCCGTCAAGCACTAAATTCCCAGGCCCAAAGCCCTGGATCCCTAAACGCTCCAAAAACGCCAAGCACCAAAAGCCCTGGTAGGTTCTTTGTGAGCGTGAACTACATGACAGCCGCTTCGGCCTCGATACTGAACCTGATGCAAAGCTGGGACAAGGCGGCTGGCATTTTGGGAGGTTTTGGTTTACGGGTTTCGGGTTCAGCGGTCTAGGGGTTGAGGGGTTCAGGATTTAGGGTTTAGGGGTTGAGGGGTTACGGAGGGGTTAAAGCGGAGGGTTTTAAGGTGTAGAGGTTTAGGGGTTTGAAGGTTTAGGATGGTTCAGGGCTTTGTGTTTGGCTTAGGGTTTGGGTCGCTTAAGGGCCGGTCTTCTTCGTAGTCTTAGACTCGATGAGCCTTAGGAACGAAAGCCCGGAACTCCTGGATCAGAGACATCATTCGAGGCCAAAGCCTCAACTCCGTAAGGGCCTTTCATGCCCCAAGCCCTACATGCCCGTAAGCCTTTGCCACAGGCCCTTGAATACGTGGCTTATACCTAAACCGTAAACCCCTAAACCCTAACTAAACTCTCCTATATACATGGAGCGGGAGCCGTTTCGGAGAGTTGAGAGACCCAGGCAAAACTCCAAGCAATGCAGCCCTTAGTTAGGGCCATGTTTCTGATTCCGACAACGACATCAACCTTCCTACTGTCGCCACTGCTAGGGTGTGGACTTTGGATCCAAAACCCCCAAACCCGAACTGTTAGGTCTTAGTCTAGCCGCCCTCAGTCGGCTCTCGGCCTTCTTTCTCGGGGTTTAAGGCTTTTCGAAGCTTCCCTCCGTAGGTCATCGACGATGTGAACAAAGATGCCCCTGCAGACGTGGGCGAGGCTCGCGACGGCTTCTATGGGCCTCAGTGGTGGCAGTCAGTTCGGAGATGTTTTTCTTCTTAAGTTCGTGCCTGCTTGTAAAGAAGCTTGTTCTTTTAAGTCTGTGTGTTTTTGCTCTGCTTTCTTCGCTGTCTCTTCCCAGAACTAGGGTTTATTATCATCATTTGGGATTGCAGGGCTTTGTGTGTAGGGTTTAGTTCAACTGGCAACAGCAGCGGTGAGAATAATGATGATGCGACAGCAGCAATGAACACAATGAACACCCGAGTCTCAATCATGACCGCACTGGCCATCGTTGTCGTCGTCGTCGTATGTCATGGTCTGGTATAGTAGGTTACCGCATCTGATCGTATATCTTGTTTGAGAGAAGGACTCTGCAGTAGGTACATTCCCAAGCACCCCAAAGGGTCCCTATGATTACCCTAAACCCTAAGCCCTAAACCCTAAACCCAGGCTAATGTCTTTTCGAGTGGTATGCCTAAGATGTCAAATCACGGATGTGTGCAAGCCTCGTTCCGAGGCCGACCCTTGGACGCACGGAAAAGGGCATTCCATTTACAAAAAAAAGCCCAGGACCCGATTCCTCGGTCTTACCCTCGCAGGCCTGGCACACCTCGCAGCTTTGGATTCGCGCCGAGGCCTTGACTCAGGGTCTTCAGCTCAGGGCTTTAGGGGATGGTATGGGGCGTTATGCTTGAGGGTGTCAGGGAATTGCAAGGGGTAATCGTAGGCTTTATGAGGGGGGTTTAGAGCTTTTGGGTTTTGCAGGTTTTGGTAGGCTGTGGCAAGGTTCCTAAACCCGAAACCCTAAACCCTTATACGCAAAAAGGAATAGGGTGGGTTAGGGGTTCAGGAGTTCAGGGTTTTGGGGTTTAGGAGCTTCGGTGTTTCGGGGTTTATGTTTAGGAGTTTAGGAGTTTAAGAGTTTAGGGCGTTTAGGGTTTGGGCTCTGGGGCGTGAATTCGCAGCCCTGCCGCCAGGCGGAGTCCGCCATCGTGAGCAGCACCGTGGTGACCATGATCGTGAGTGACTTGGCAAAGCGCCGTTTGCTAGGAGAAACCGACTTGAGACGAAATGCGACACTGGTCTGAAGCCCTATACCCTAAAGCCCCTAGGCCTTAAACCCAAAAGCCCATGTAAGCCTTAACTCTATGTAGATCCATCCAAAAATGGGCTTCGACATCTGGAGCTTCCACTCCGATTTAAAGAGCCCCTGCTTTCGGGGCGAGGGTTTACTTACCTTTGGTTAGTAGGGAATGGAGGAATGAGGTACAATTATAACTACTATTACTACCATTCTTCCATTCCCCACTAACCAAATGTGAGTTTAGGGGTTGCTTTCAAGGTGTCCGCTGTGCACGATTGACCCTTGTTGAGAACGCAGGAGTGTCTACTCTACTGAGATCTTGCACCCTAAGCATCCCGAAACCCTGGACCTGAAACCCAAGTCCTAGCATCGAAGTTCGACAGGCTAAACCGGAAAGTACATGCAAACCATTTCAAACCTGTTGAAGTCAGACACCTGCGGTTGGGCCATGAACCGAAAGAGCTCTGCGCCTTCGAGTCGGCTGGGTTGGCGGTTCGGGCTTTGGTGTTGGGCTTGGGAGTAGTGGGTTTAGGTTCGGGGTTTAGAGTTTAGGGTTTCGGGTTTGGAGTGAGGGGTTAGGGTTTCGAAGGTCTAGGATTGGGCTGAAGGTTGATAACATCCCAAGCTACCGCTCAGAAGCCTAACCCAGGCGTGGCATGCGGCCTGGCAGGAGCATTGCTGTTCACTCATCTGGACATCTTGCTGTCCTTGATCCTCGGCCCGCAGTTGCCGCAGAGTGCCCCCGAAGTCTCCATGCCGGATCCTTAAACCTATAACCGTAAACCCTGAGCCCGATACCTAAATTAAGGGCTGAACCCTTCCCAATGTCCCACTTAGATGACCCGAAACTTCAGCCGTGAAGCATTAAATAGGAGTCGCTTAAACCCAAGATCCTGAACCCTAGTCGCGCCACTAGACGCCGACAGCCCATAAAATCTGTACCGATACTCTGTAGAAACCCATTTACGGCCCTACAATAGAAACATAAAATCTGTACCATTATCGTGTAGAAACCCATAAACCCATTCACAACCCTACAATAGAAACATAAACAACCCGCTTCTCTGAGGATGGTTGTAGTGGCCGTGACGGGTGTGACCATCTCTCTCGCCTGGCGGCTGCGGCGGCAAGCAGACCCCCAAACCTTCTTGGAGGTTCATGGGTAGGTTAGAAATGGGGTTCCTTTAAAGGGATCTATAGGGATTCTATAAGGGTTTAGGCTTTAGGGTTCATGGGTAGTTATAAGTAGGGTTGTAAGTCCCCTAATATGAGTTATAAGTATAGCTACCCTACTTGTAACCCCACTTGTAACTACTCAAAGCCTTAATCCCTAAACCCTATACATCCCTTTAAAGGAACCCTTATAACCCCACTTGTAACTACCCATGAACCTGCAAGTTGAAGACCCGAAGGATCCGGCTGGAGGGTTTGGCGCGTGGAGTTCAGGGTGGGGCCCAAAATCCTGAACCTTCAGCCCATGTGGGTGCTTGTCAAGATTGTGGTCCCTTTTTGGGCCATTTTAGGGTTTAGGGTTTAGGGTTTAGGGTCTTGTCAAAATTATGGTCCCTTTTTGGGTCCCGATTATAATACGGCACCTAATATTTAGGGTACCCAACAAGGGACCATAATTTTGAGAACCACCCATGTAGATCTTCGTCCCTTCCGGGTTGAGGAACTGGCTTCTTCCACCCAAACGAGATAACGTGAAGTTTAAAGTGCAGGAGCGCGAAGACGCCTCAACCTAAACCCCAAAGCCTAAACCCTAAACCCCTAAACCCTAAACCCTAAACCCTAAACCCTTAAAAAAAAACCCTAAACCCCAAAGCCTAAACCCTAAACCCCTCAACCCCAAACCCCAATCCCCTCAGCCCACAAGTGCTAGATTCCAATCCGTGTCACCAACCTCTTGCCGGTCCCATCCCCTTAGGGTTTAGGGGTTTACGGGCGGTTTAGGGTTTAGTTATTAGGGGTTCAGGGGTTTAGGGTTCAGGGTTTTTTGTGGTTGAGTTCAGGCCTTGGAGTTGGGAGTTTGGGCTTCAGATCAACCGATTGCAACTCCTCTATGTGTCGGTTTTGGGTGCAAGCTGGACGTGTTTCTGGAAGGCATGGATCACGGGAACAACGTCAGCCCGATCATCCAGGAACATGCTTGCACTGAAAATATTGAAAGTTCCTATACTATACTAAAGTCCTGAAACCGAAAATTCGTAGACCTTCAACCCCCCGAAGGCCCCCAAGCCGTGTGGCCTAAACCGTGTAGCTCAATTCCCTGAAGGTCTGGCGAGCCTGAAGCCCGTAAACCCTAAACCCTGAACCCCTAAACCCTAAACCCTGAACCCCTAATCCCTAAACCCTGAACCCCTAAACCCTAAACCCTGAACCCCTAAACCCTAAACCCTGAAGCCCTAATCCCTAAACCCTGAACCCCTCATCCCTAAACCCTGAACCCCTAAACCCTAAACCCTGAACCCCTAATCCCTAAACCCTGAACCCCTAATCCCTAAACCATGAACCCCTAATCCCTAAACCATGAACCCCTAATCCCTAAACCCTGAATCCGGTGTCGTCTGAGAGGGCTTGTTTACAGTGCATGCTCCATCTGGAGCAAGCTCGACTTCTGCTGGAAAAGGGGCTATTGCACTTAAAAAAAAAAAAACCCTGAATCCCTAAACCCTACGCCTGAAATCCTTGAAACCCTGGAGCTTCGGAGGGCCTTCAGGTCCCGAACCCTCGAAGCCACAACCCGCCAAAAACTCCATAGTTCAGGTGCTCCCCGGGCTCCCCGTTAAGAACAACCTTAAGGTTCATTGCTATGAACTAGAAAAGCCCTAAGTTTCATGTTCTCAGTTAAGACAAACCTTAACCCCAAACCCTACACGACGCCTTAAGGTTCATGATCGTCTTTATGGGCTGGCCCGTGGGCGTCCTGGAAGTGTTGGGCCTCATTGTCGCTGGGACGACCGGTTCTCCTGAACCCTGAGCCCTAAACCCTGAACTGCAAACCTTAAACCACGTGATGGTTGTAGTTGTAGTTGCTGCTACTGCTGCTGCTGCTGCTAGGGTTTAGGGTTCAGGGTTGTTGTTGTTGTTGTTGTGGGGTTTGGGCTGAAGGCTGATGGTAAGCTAGATAAGGCTGAGTTTGGGTTCAGGGTTTCTTTGATTGAAGGCTCAGGGCTTCGAGTTTAGAGTTTGTGTCGAGGGTTTTGGGTTCATTTGGGTTGTCGGGCGTCGGGTTTTGTGGCTTGATGTTCCCCTAAACCCCAAACCCTCAACCCTAAACCCTAAACCCTAAACCCCTAAACCCTTGAACCCCTAAACCCCTAAACCGTTTCAGTTAAGGAGAGAAGGAGTTCTGGGGCCCGCCTCCACCTGCCATGTGGCTTTGGAGTTGAGAGTTTGGGGAATTTCGGGTTCAAGCGTGCAAGGCTCCGGGTCATCTCCGGGTTAGCAGACGAAGGTTTGGAGCTTAGAGCCTCGAAAAACTCCCCAAAACCAAACCCTGGAGTGCAGCTTCTGCGTGGACAGCTCCTACAGACGGTGTAGGGTAGGAAGTTGCATTGATGGAATCGCCGGAGCTTCAGTTCAAGATGCTTTGAACAATCGCAATAATGCATGCAAGCTTTCTCGGCCCTAAATCCCTGCACCCTTGAACCAGCAAAAGCTCTGTGGGATCCGTTACATGTCGCATGGTTGAATTAAGGCTAAAACTTAAGCCCTAAAGCTTTGTAGGGCTTCGGATTCTAAGGTCTTCGTGGGCTACAGCATCACCTACTCCCTGCACATCGCCCACAAGTATCAGTTGCACAGCATGGAGCTGGAGGAGGTCTTAGGGTTACAAGAAGGGAGCTTAGGGTTTAGGGTTTAGGGTTTAGGGTTTAGGGTTAGGGACTGTCGCAGTAACCAAATCCAAAGCCTGCGACCCTCAGCCCATCCTCCCGCCAGAAACCGCCAAAACCTAAGCCCTGTAGATCCTAAGCCCTACACCCTGAAGCCCTAAACCCTCAAGCCCTGTAGATCCTAAACCCTACACCCCAAAGCCCTAAACCCCAAAGCCCTGTAGATCCTAAACGCCGCGTCGGTCTTTCTGCAGGAGCCCCTGTCTGAGCGGCGACGCCACGCGGTGGTACAAGCTCTGCAGAGTTGCTGGGCATCATACAGGAGTGAGGAAGGGGCCTGGAATCAGGGGTTTTGGATGCTTTTGGCTTTTTGGAGGCTTTTATGGGTGTGTGTATGTCGGGGGGGGGGGGGGGGGCTTGGTAGTCGGAGTAGGGCTTTGGGGTATGTACTAGTAGTACAGAGTTTGGGGCTTGGGACATTTTCAGTGTTTGTCGGTTTAGGGTATCTGTGTAGTGAAGCCCTTGAGGGTCCTATTATCTTGGTCTGAGGAATCCAATTTTTCACTTCCCATATGTAGACCCGGACTAGAAATCAGTTTGATGGAGAAGGGCTCATAAACCAACAGTCTGCGACTATTCCAAGGTCCTGACCCGCAAAACTTTACACTTTAAACCCCAGAAGTCCTCGACTTTCTGGACAAATATGCTGAACCGTCAATCTCGAAGCCTGAACACTATAGTTATGCATGAATATGTGTATATATATATATAGAGACATATATAACATACATACATATATATATATATATATATATCGTACAACCCCTATCTTAAGGCTTTCCAAGGACCCGAAGCCGAAGATCGAACTCGAGCCCTGAAGCCGTAAACCCCAAAGCCCTGAGTCCTCAATCTCTGAACTTTTGAGGTTTAGGGTCTAGGGTTTGGGGTCTAGGGTTCAGGGTTTAGGGTTGAGGGCTTAGAGTTTAGGGTTTAGGGTTGTTTAGGGTTTAAAACGAACCCCTAAAGCCCTAAGACGCTGCACTCTTCAGTCTCTGAGCCATAGAAAACCCCTCGAAGTCAGCTGAGGTATGGCCAGCTCTGTGCTAGGCTCTGCAGCGACCACTCTGGGATCCTCCTTCTTCCTCTTCTTCTGTCAGCTGGCTCCTCGACATATCATTAAAATCCGGGATAATCTCCAACACTATTCCTCCGGGGTCCTTAGAGACAGACAAGTCTTTACCACCAAGCCCTATTATCATTGTTAGGTCCCTGCCGCAAAATTCTCTGAAGGTTTATCCAGCAGCCGGTCGGTCCTTCAACCCTGTTGCACTAGACCCAACAATCGAACATTTGTACGGCCGCATGGTGCGACATTCTGAGCCCCACTGCTCTTCGCAAGACCAGCAGACGCACAACAGTGGCAACATTTACAAGCTTAGCAGGCTCAATGGTCTTTCAGTGGTCAGTGTGGTGAGGCAGGGGTACCTGGTTCTCGAGGTGCGGGGTCGGAAGCAGAAAGCATATCAAGCTTTGTTCATGTCAGAATGTCTCCTGAAGACTTGGAAAGGAGTTGTACGGTATATTAGAATAGTGTAGATACATCAAGAGTAGCTGTGAGGGCTAGCTGTAAGGGAATGCTGTTGCGAGCTATCCACACCTTGAGTTTTTAGTTTCGGCTCGGGTTGGGTTTGGGATGGTTTAGGGTTTAGGGTTTAGGGTTTAGGGGCAGAGGGCATGGGTACGTTTTGCACCCGCGAAATGCCTCGACTCGAACTCTCCGAGCCTCAGCTCCTGCCCCCGCCTTCGATCGAACTCTGAAGCATCACCCAAATTATCTATACTATTTGGGCGGTTCCTTAGTATAATTATAGTATAATGGGCCCCGAAACCCTATTCTAATTATGAGAGATACCGTCAGGTGATCTTCGTAAAGTTGGCTACGGTCCTCTTTGCGGTCACCTTCTTTGCATGTGTCTTCGCGATCCTCGCGCTGCCGCTAGACGTGACAAAGTTGAGGGATCCTTCCACACGATTGTCCTCTTCGGAGTTTTACCTGTTCCACTTCTTCGCCTTTAGGACACCTATCTGCATCCATATGGGAGTTTCCGAAAATAGGGGACCCTAATATAGTACCCGAAATATTAGGACCCTTAGTATATGGATGCCAAAATAAGGTACCCCTAATTTTCGGAAACTCCCAGAAGTTACTGTAGGACCCCCTCCGACTGGCTTTGTGGTTCTTGTCTTCTTTTGATTTTTGGATGAAGCGCCGAGCAAACTGTTGCAAGACGGCCATTCGGGGTCAGGCCCCTCCCTCGGCGCACAGGAATCTGGGACCTTCGGGGGATGCAGGGCAGTGCTATTATCAGGTCAGCCGAAGTAGGGACAATCGCAGCCAATGAGCAGCAAGGCAGTTCTTGCAACTTGCATTTCGTAGCTGTTCCAGATACCATAAGGTCGGTTCCCCAGGTTGGTTTAAGACCACCTGAAAAGGGCGCATTCCCAATGGTTTCGCCTTTTGACGGAGTCTTGCAACAATCCCACCCTAAACCTACAATCGGGGCCTCAATAATTACCTATACTATTTTGGGGGTTGTTTATTATTTCTTTTAGAATAATGGGCCCAAAACCCTATTCTAATTATTTCTTACGGCCCCTATACTAGCCCCCAGCTCCAACATTCCAAGCCCCAGACTTCTCCAGGCCTGCCGCGCTGCTTTGCATTGGTCCCGTGGGCACCGCCTGCACCCATCTCATTCCGTGGGCTTCGCAACAGCTCTCCAAGGACTCAACAGCAGTTTGTTTGTTGCTTTTGTGTTGTTTTGTTGTTGTTGCTGCTGCAATTGCTGTTGCAGGTGCTGTTGCAGTGGCAGTTACTGTTGTTGTTGGTCTTATTGTTGGTGTTCGTGTTGGCGTTGTTGTTGTTGGGTGGTGGTGGTGGTGGTGGTGGTGGTGGTGGTGGTGGTGGTGGTGGTGGTGGTGGTGGTGGTGGTGGTGGTGGTGGTGGTGGTGGTGGTGGTGGTGGTGGTGGTGGTGGTGGTGGTGGTGGTGGTGGTGGTGGTGGTGGTGGTGGTGGGGGTGGTGGTGGTGGTGGTGGTGGTGGTGGTGGTGCTGGTGCTGGTGTGGTGGTGGTGTGGTGGTGTGGTGGTGGTGTGGTGGTGGTGGTGGTGGTGGTGGTGGTGGTGGTGGTGGTGGTGGTGGTGGTGGTGGTGGTGCTTGTGCTGGTGGTGGTGGTGCTTGTGCTGGTGCTGGTGCTGGTGCTGGTGGTGTTGGTGGTGCTGGTGGTGCTGGTGGTGCTGGTGGTTGGTGCTGGTGGTGGTGGTGGTGGTGGTGGTGGTGGTGGTGGTGGTGGTGGTGGTGGTGGTGGTGGTGGTGGTGGTGGTGGTGGTGGTGGTGGTGGTGCTGGTGGTGGTGGTGGTGGTGGTGGTGGTGGTGGTGCTGCTGCTGCTGCTGGGTGGTTGTGTTTTGTATTACGGGTGCTTCATACATAGCTCACCACAAGCTACATGAGGGTCTGTTTCGTGTTTCGGTTTCTGAAAGGGTTCCTTGAAGGGTTCGGGTCTGAAAAAGAAGAGACCCTTGACGCCCTCGAAGACAAACTCAACGCCTTTCGCAGTGTCACACCAGATGTGCCCAGAACAAGAGAACACCAATGAGTCATCATAGCCTAGATAGTTGGCCGAAAAAATGGAAGAGCGCTTTGAATAGAGTTAGGGTCGGGAACTTTACACCCCATGAGTCAAACGAGACCTATACGCAGAACTTGAGAACTCTTAAACGGCATCCCGTAACCCGAAAGACCTGAAGCTGTTGACACCGCTCGTCATTTCCCGAGCCATCTTCGAAGCACTGAGCCCTCACTCCCCAAACGCCTTAGAGAAGCCCGAACAAGTACCGACATTGTTCCTTACGATTCCGTACTGTATTTATGCTACAGAATGCCCCAAACCCTGTTCAAATGATGAAGTTCCCGAAAGCTAAACCTGTATAGTAACCTTAGTGACTCTTTTCGTAGTAACCCTTCTAGACCCCATGAGGTGCCGAAAGCCCGGCGCAGCGAACCCAAAACTCCACATCCGACACCGTGAACCCTAAACCCTAAACCCTAAAAGCATCTAAAAGCCCGAAGCCCATCTAAGCCCTAAACCCCAACAGCCCTAAACCCTAAACCCCAAAACGTGAGAGGAGCCGTCCTCGTCGGCCATCGCCGCCAGCTCTACGAAGCTGACGTCATCCTTGGCACGGAAGATTCCGAAGGATCAGGGTGCTGGGGTTAGGCAAACTTTAAATCCTAAACCCTGAATCGGAAGATTCCGAAGGATGTCAGGGTGTTGGGGTTGGGCAAGCCTTTAAATCCTAAACCCTTAATGGAGGTCCTTTCCCTACAAGCCTTACAAACCCTTAACCCTACAAGCCCTAAAAGCCTAAACCTTAGAAGCCCCGAAGCCTAAACCCCAAACCCCAAACCCAAAACCCAAAACCCTCAACCCTAAACCCAAAACCCTCAACCCTAAGCCCAAAACCCTCAACCCTGAACCCTAAACCCTGAACCCTGAATTAGAGTGCCCTGCCTTTTCGATGTCGGAGGATGCGATCTCCAGCTCGCAGAAGACGGAGGTCTTTATCTCCTCGACGCCATCCGCCTTCAAAAGCGCCTTGGAGTGCTTCAAACCCTAAACTTGTCCCTAAACCCTAAAACCCTAAATCCTGAATCCTAAACCCTAAACCCTAAACCCTAAATCCTAAATCCTAAACCCTAAACCCCAAACCCTAAAACCCTAAATCCTGAACCCTAAACCCTAAACCATTGAGGGTTGAAGGGCCTTCATAAGGCATTTGGAGTTCCTGAAGACCAAAAGCCCTAGACTTCAGGGATTAAGGGGATTAAGCGGTTTAGGTGAGGTACTGCCCCCTAACACTAAGAGTCCATAATAGGGCTACTATTAAGGCCCTAATGTATCTATGTTGCGAATATTATTCAGCTATTACTGAGTGGGGGCCGTACCCAAGGTTTAGGGCTTAGCGGTTTAGGGGATTGATGGTTTAGGGCTGTATTGTTGGACCAAAGCCGGGTTGGGATTTCGGTGCGCTGGGGCCCTAGGACTTTTCTGGAGTTTCTAGAAGCCCCTTAGAGTTTCTTGAGCTTTGAGGCTTTATGGCCGATGGTTTTGGTTTCGAAAGCCCCAGCTCTATAATCTCCAGCAAAGGCCCGAATCCCTCAACCTTGAACACCGATCTCTTCACCCTGATCTCTGCTTGGAGGTTCAGGGGTAGTTATAAGTAGGGTTATCAGTCCCCTAACTCGGGTTATAAGTATAGGTACCCTAGTTATAGCCCTCCAAGTACCCCTACTCAAACCCTGGCCGACAAGGTTCCTGGCCGGCTGCGATCGCCCCGGAGCCCTTTGCCGGCGTGGTCTCCCCGCCGCACAACCGCGACCTCTTCTCCGGCAGCGGCTTTGGCAAACCATGGACAACCAAGCCTACTTGGAGGTTCATGGGTAGTTATAAGTGGGGTTATAAGTAGGATAACTATACTTATAACTCATATTAGAGGACTTATAACCCTACTTCTAACTACCCATGAACCTCCAAGCCTAAAGCCCAAAGCCCTGGTCTCGAAGCCCTCGAACCCCAAGTCCGGGACTCGAAACCCTCAAACCCTAAACTGGAAACTCCAAACCCCTAAACCCGATTCGACCCAAAAAGCCGGAACTCTAAACTGAAGAGCTAGAAACCTTTGCCCTGGATGTCGATTCATAGTATAAGTACCTCGAAACCTTCGACTGAAATTCAGGGTTTAAGGTTTAGGGTGGTGCGTGGGATCTTGGTTCGTGAACCTTGCGCTTCAAGAGCCCTTTCCCTCATGAGCTTTAGGCTTAGGGTGTGAGGTTTAGGGTTTAGCGTTGAAGGTTTCGGGGTTTAGGGTTTAAGAGTTTATAAGGTTTATGTCCGCAGCGCAAGCTCAAAACCCAACCCCACACACTCAAAATCTGAAAAACCTTAAGTGCTCGCAAACTCGTCGCTCCGGAGGTTCCCGACACTCCAAGCCCAACAATGAAGGTTTTCGCAACAAAATGTCACTTCATTGTGGAAAGTTGCAGCTCGCACCATTAAGAGCTCGTGCACTCAGTCTTCGAGATCCCAAACCCTCAACCCGAAACCGTAAATCTTGCACTGTCGAGCACGGCCACTGAAGCTCTTGACCTCTCGAGCAGGCAGAAGACTTCCCTGAAAAAGAGGTTCCCCTCAAACGCGCATGTCCGTTTCCTTGAAACGCACAGGGTGCGAACATGTCCGAGGTAATGAGGGTGCTTGGCGGTTTAGGTGATAGGGTTTAGGGTAGTCCCGACATGAGCACTGTTTAATATGTGTAGCAGTCATATGACTACGTCAAGCAGAACGAACAGCGACAGTCGTTCAGCTCCCCAGGTATCTCCACCAGCGTCTTTTAGGCGCCGCCTGCATCTGAACAGCAATGGCCCAGTCCGTTGTTAAGTGTCATCAGATCCGCAAGATGGGGCTTCGACTAGCAGAACCGTTGCTACACAGTTGAGGGCAGGGTGTCAGAAGTCAGGGTAACCCGAAACCCTAAACCCTGGGTAGGCAGATGCCAGGTGGCAGAGTTAGGTCTCACCAAGCGCACGGGCAGCACCGGCTTTTCCACCCTTCTCAAAGCTCAGAGAAGGGCCTCACCGGCCAAGCCCTTTTGCACGAATTTGCAGCATTTCAGACCATGGACCGAATCTAGTCGAAGCACGAAACACGCTCTTGTGCGAAGCAGCCCCGAACTTGGAGGAGATCTCTATGATGGCAGCCCGAATCCCTCTGTTTCCATCTTCTGTTAGGCCTTGAACCCCGGATTTGGCGTGACATCTGAAGAAGCGCACGCCCGTAAAAACAACAAGAAAGGAGTCTTCTTTGCAAGGTCAGGCACCGAGATCGATGAATCCACGTAGGCTTTAGCAAAGTTTAAGGTGTATTTGGGGCGATCGACTCTTTAGTAACCCAGTTCCCCTGCCATATGAGCTCGAAGCAGTACGCGTTGCAGAATTCACAGTGCCCGATGTCCAGTGCTATCGCAGCCCACATCCTGCTGCAGCACTTACTTAGAGACTTATGCAGCAGACAGATCCCTTGTAGAAACACTTTACCGTAATCCCGAATCCCAGCCTGAGCCTTAAGCTTAACTCTAAAACCCTAAACCTTAAACCCTAAATGAGCCCTGAACCCAGAAAACAGCTTGACGGCTCAAGTAAAGTCCCTGGACAGAGCCGCCCCTGGCGTGATATAGGGACCTGAAACAAGAAGCGAGAGTCGTGGGGTCATTATCGTTGCGGCATAGTTAGGAGCGTTTAGGAATAGAAGGAAATGTGGAAGGAGCCCAACGGAACAGTACACGGATAGGTGCTACCTATGCAGACCAAACTTGTTATTCAGGCCCCATATTCTGCAGCATGCGAGACTGAAGACTTGGTACTACTCTTCCCCGACGATCCTTGCATCATCTTAGCCCGTTGCGCCAATCCTGAGTCTTAAACGTACAAACAACGCCATATTCCAACCCCCAGAATTTCTTATGATCCCTGTTAAGACCCCTTTTGAGGCAATGAGGCTTATCAAACCAGGAGTTTACAGTACCGTTAACGCTAGACCTCAGCGCATAAACCTAAGCCCTAAATCCCAAAGCCAAAATCCAGAGTCTCAACAGCGTGGCGTGCGGAACAAGCGTGAGAACACCAACGTACCCACCATGGACACTGACCTCCCATTTGGTGTTTAGGAATGTAGGCCTTTAGGATTCAGAGTTAAAGGTTTAAGGAAAGTTTCGTTTTGGGATCGAGGTCTTTTGGGATTGTATGGGTTGTGGTGTTTACGGGTTGTTTAGGGTGGATGGTTTTGCGGTCACCCTTGTCCTTTTAGAAATAATGGACAGAGCCCTATACCTATATCCCGTACTAGGAATTATTTAAGAAGGTCTACTAGTCGGTCTGTTTATTCTTTTGGGGGAACCATGATAAAGGACAAGGATGTTTGCGGTTGCCCTGGAAATCATCGGGCCTGTCTCTTGCGATTTATCGTGTCGGGCCTCCATGTGTTTCTGAATCCTGGGCCCGTTCTGTAATAGAAGCCAGAAAGCTGGAACATGGCTCTAGGAGGATTAGTGCTAGGATCCCTTATACCTTACCTTTAGGGCATGAGGGTAATAATGCTCCAACTTTCTGGCTTCTACTACAGTGCTCAGCATGTGAAGGGTGAGTCTTACACATGGCTCGTCGTACCCTTGTTTCTTCGAAGGTGGTGTTCAGGGCCTCAGGCAGACCAGGAAGAAGCACCTCCGTGAAAACGTAATCGTCTTCGCCCTGCGTCAGGACACCTATGTTGCCGATCCCGAGGCAGGGCTTTCTGCTCTGGGTGCAAGTTGAAGAGGTCTGGATATTTACGATATCCCCCTATTCATGGTCGTTTAGTAATAAATATATATATATATATATATATATATGTATATATATATATATATATGCATGTCTAGATACAGATACATAGCTGTACTGTAGTATTCCCAGTGCCTAGCCCAGTATGCCGTTATGCTCCCGGAGCAGTAAGCTCCCGAGCATTTCCCCAAAACTTTGACACACATTTTCGTTAAAGACTTAGGGTTTTTGGATTTAAGGTTTAAGGTTTGGAGCTTGATTTAGGTTCTTGATTCGGGCGTGTGATCAAGACTCCAATTTTCGGGCTTCAGGGCTTTGGGTTGATGGTGTTCTGCGGTTGGAACTCAGAGTTTCAGGATGTATGGTTTAGGCTCACCTTAAATACCCTAAACCCTAGCTTCGGCTTTAGGCTTTGCGTTTTCGGGTGCTGGGGCTTAACGCTTGGGGTTACGACGTGGCGGTTCTAGGGTTTGGGGCTGTTTAGGGTGAACACGCCGCGCACCTGAACCGATTTAGCCCTAACCCTCATTAAGCCCTAAAACCCCCAATCATACGGTTTTTTCTCTTTATGATCGGGGCAAGGGTGCAGAGGCCCACTGTTGGGCCAGAGGTGTTAACATCGACCCCTGAATACTTCACTACGTCTATTCCGTAGGGTTCGTGTTTCTGATCACATTCTTGTTTGTTCTGTACCCCATTCCGCCAAAAACCCTGTTCGCAGTATTCAGGTCGCGGTAATATCTCTCGAGCACGAGGCTTGCAAGCCCATCGCCCACCAAAACAAGCAGGGGAGGGACCACTAAACCCCGCAAAACTGACCCCCGAAACGTTCAATTCTAAACTCTCAACCCTAAGAACCCCAAATCCAAAAACCCCAAAACCCTAAACCCTACTCTGCGGGAATAGGGCTATTGCACTTTAAACGAAAACCCTATACGCCCTATAAGCCGTATAAGAGCTAAATCCTGATCTCCGTGGCAGGACCTGATCGACCAGCACGTCGCCTATTTCCTGCGCAAGAACCCCGAGGCCTGTGTCGGTGAGGATTTCAGGGCTCGGGGAGGAGTCTCTTTAGGAATTTGGGGATTCCCTTAGGGCTTATGTCGGAAGAATCTCTTTAAGGGAGCTCTTCCAGGATCTCCTACAAGTTTTTTGTAAGGGGTTCTTCAAGGGCACTTTTCACATCCTACGAGGCTTCTTTGAGGGTTCTTTCTTCATGCTTTTGGGTTGATGAGAGATGGGCTCCGGCTCGTCGAGTAGTCTACCGGTTTTAAGTGAAGGTGCGCCCGCCAGGCTTGATGTGGGAAGTTGTCAAAAGTATGGTCCCTTTTGGGGTTCCTGTTATAGTACGGCACCTATTTTTTTAGGGTACCAAAAAAGGGACGTTAATTTTGCAAACTACCCATGTCTGAGTCTAGAACCGTCGGGATAAACCGCAAAACCCGAGAAACTCTAACCCTTCAAGTGCTAAGCTTTCCGGTTTAAGGTTTCGCGTTTGGGGCGAAGTTCGAGTTCGATGTCTGTTTGTGCCTCCCTGCTTGGCTCCGGGAACGCCCAGGTACGGGGCAATCACAGCATCCGCCGGCGAACGGTGGGTTCGTGCGACATCCCGACTTTGTGTTGTAAGCGGTCTCGGCTCAGGATCTACAAGGTCTAGGGCCTAGGAGCTAGGATTACGGATTAGATTTTGGTAGGATTAAGGATCTAGGTTTAGCCTCTATGGTTTTGGGTGTAGGATTCATTTCGGGCTTTACAGGAGTTCTGATTGATTTGGTTCCTGTACTGGGGATTTGGCACTGCGGGTTTGATAGGTGTATAGGGTTCACGTTTCCGGTGTAGGGGCTTTCGCTATGATTGGATCAGCCAGAGCTTTTGCAGTGGTTTGTAGGGTTGCACGTTGTTTTTGTAGCTGAGCTGGGGGGATAAAGTTTGGAGTATCTTTCTGACACTCACGGCTGCTGTCATGCAAGTCGCTGCAATGGACATCTGATTCCCTAAACCCAAAACCAAAAAACCCTAAAGCAACAACCGGAACCCGAAACTCTAAACCAAACCCTCATTCCGAAACCAGAATGCCCAAGCTGAACCTTAAGCGCTACATGATTCAGAAACCCTGGCTGGGACTTTTGCCCCCGAGAGTAGTAGGATTCATAACGGGAACTCAGTATTTCAGGCCGAAGGTCCTAAGGTTTCTTAACCAGGTTCCTACATTAGCAGGTTGGAGAGGAGATCGGAGTCGAAAGCCCATCGAGCCGAAGGTTTCTCCTAGGCTCGGGGTTTAGAGTTTAGGGTGAACCCCAGAAAGTTGGAACATGGATTAAGGATGATTAGTGCTAGGATCCCCTATACTTTACCTTAAGGGCATGAGGATATGATGTTCCAACTTTCTGGCTTCTACTGTAGGGTAGCTTCATTGGGCTAAAAAATTGTTTTGGGCTTAGGCCGTACGGGTAAGGATTTGGAGTTGGGTTAAGCTTCGAGAGGCATCTCCAACATTAAAAAAACATATCATAATAATAATAGTAATAATAATAATACTAATACTAATACTAATACTAATACTAATACTAATACTAATATTAATATTTATACTAATACTAATACTAATATTAATACTAATACTAATACTAATACTAATACTAATACTAATACTAATACTAATACTAATACTAATACTAATACTAATACTAATACTAATACTAATACTAATACTAATACTAATACTAATACTAATAAGAATAAGAATAAGAAGAAGAAGAATAGTAATAATATTACTAATAATAATCAAGTCTGAAGCCAAAGTCAGCCTCCGGCCAAAGCCTGGCAGCCAAAGAGCAATCTTAGAAGAGAGAGCCTAAACCCTAAACCCTAACCCCTAACCTAAACTTCAGACCCCAGCCCTCTAACCCCAAACCCCAAACCCCAGAGGTACGACATGGATGGCCGCGAGGTGCAGATCGAGTGGCAGTATGCGACAGAGCCGGGCGGCAAGGCCTTGGCTTTCAGAGCTGGGGCACTTGGGGGACAACCCCTAAACCTGACTGCCCCACCATAATTATACTGCTACATACCCCGAAGCCCCGTTTTGCCTATTCACACCCCAAGAGCACTGAACTCCAAACTCCCCCGAGCCGAGCCACCCCACAGCCCTCTTGAGGCAAGCCTCAAAGCTTCGAGCTGCAAGTTCTGAAGCTGTTGCCTTGAGATTTTTATTTAAATTTGCCGACATGGCCTAAGCTAAGTTGAACTCGTAACTGGAACTTATGCTTCCGGGTTTGGAGCCCGACTTCAGGGCAGTGTAGGTTTTGTCTCGGCAGCCCTGGCACATTACAAGGCCTTTAAGCCCTAATCGTTTAATTTTGGGAGCATCTCCTAGAAAGCGCAATGTCGGTGAGTGGACCATCCACGGCACCATGGTCCCGACCCGCCCCAAACCCTAAACCGTACACGCCAGAGCCTTTCAGAAATCCTGAAGTTAAGGTTGAAACACTCCACCCAAAGGCCCCAAAGTAGTTCCTTTGTGGGGTTCATATATAGAATCCTATAAGGTTATCCCAAAAAGGAACTACTATGGGGCCTATGGGTATGGAATAAACCCTATAATCCATGCTTAGATTGGCTTAGATGACAAGCCCTAAATACCCTAAGCCCCACAAGTAGTAGCATTTTGCATTCTGTGCGCAGCTGCACGCACCCCCTTAACCCTATTCTTATTGAGGCAAACTAAGCCCTGTCAGATCCCGAAAAACCCCGAAGCAAGATTTCAGGCTTGATGGCCGAGGCACTGTGTTAGCTGTGCTTATGATGTTTGGAAATCTTGCTGCCCCCTGGTTCGGTGGAGGAGGACCGAAAGTGTGGGCATGATCGGAGATCCGACTACGCAGGTTACTTGGAGGTTCATGGGTAGTTATAAGTGGGGTTATAAGTAGGATACCTATACTTATAACTCATATTAGGGGACTTACAAACCTACTTATAACTACCAAGTTATGAAAGATCAGGACCCCTGGGCCAAAGTGACAAACATCGAGCACCCCGTGGCTGGTGAGGATGGTACTTGGAGTTGCTGTCCCTGTGCGCGTGTCTTCGAGTGCTCTGGGAGAAGCGATGGGCTCGTGATCGACCTTGTCATGGTATATTGTCATTTAAACATACATACCCTTATGTATACATATATATATATATATACAAATATATTCAGCTCTGACCTTGGGCAGATGGGCTTCCCATGATGCTTGTAGCATGGGGCCTCACGTTTTCAGCTCCCAAGTCTCAGCTTCAGGCGTATTTGTTTGCTCAAGGCTTTTTAGAGCCCTTGTTTGTGCTGCGGCAGGTGGAGCTTAGACGTTTGCATAAACCCCTTGACTGCCTCTTGGTTAAAGCCCCAAAACAATCCGTATGACTTCTTTAAGAGCCCTGAAAGGCCGATAAAGCGCCAACTCTCGAAGCCTAAACCCTAAACCCTACAACTATAACCTACAACCCTAAGCCCTGAAGCCCTGTTAAAGCGTTGCAGGCCCTTAAGCCGAAAGTCCTTTCAATTGCAAAAAAGACCCGTCAACCCGAAAACCCTAAATCCTGACCCTTTGAAGCCGTTGGAAAGCCCAATACCCTAAAACCCTAAACTTAAAGTCCGTTAAAACCCTTAACAGACCCTTAAACCAAAAAGCCCTCAAACCAAAAAGGCACCCAAACCCTCAAACCCTAAACTCCCCTAAACCCTGAATCCTGAAGTCGTTTAAATCCTGAAAATGCTCTTGCACCCTAAACCCGAAACCTTAACCCTAAACCCTAAACCCGAAACCTTAAAACACCAAACCCCAACTTCGACCCAGGGCTTCCTCGTGGTGGTCGATGGCCCGCTGCGCCAACCCTTCAGCGACTATATGAAGAATACCGAGGCGTTTGGGTTCAGGGATTTGGGTTTGTGGTTTTTGTGGGTTTAGGGATTTGGGTTTGGGGTTGTTTTGGGTTTAGGGATTTGGGTTTAGGGTTTAGGGTTTGCTTAGGGTTCAGGGTTCAAGGGCAGCGTGTTCATTTGATAAGAAATTTCATGCTTAGTTATGCTACAGTACAGGTATCTTCTCTTGGGGTAAACTGGGGTTTGGGCATGGGTGGGTTTGGGGGGCTGGTTGAGTGAGTTTTCCGGGTTATGTTGCTCACGGTTGAGGATGCAGTGGTGTATAGTATAGAGAGTTTATCAGGTAATTTTCCTCCTGATGTAGATACTTACACATATTGTTCTTATCTGTGGGATTCACAGGGAGGCTGGCAAGACACAACCCTCACATTGGGATTGGTGGAATATTATACCTAACATTTTACTTTTGGGGACGGGATTGATTCTCGGAACTTTGAGTTCCTATCCACTTAAAGGTGTCCAATCCACATAACCCCAGAGTTCAGAAACAACTCCCGCCCTCCCCACGGTCCTCAAAACCCGAAACTCAAAACCTTAAACCCAAAATCTTAAACCCTTAAACCCTGAATCCCAAACCTTAAACCGGATCCAGGCTTTATCCTACAGCCGCCGGATGCACCCAGAGAGCCGTTACATTCGGAGTCTAGCTTCGGCTTCGAGCTGAGCCTAAAGCCTAAACACATTTAAAAACCTCAAAGCCACTGTATTGGTGCCTGGATAAGTACCGATACTACATGGGGTTCATTGTTATAACTGTAGTAGAATATACACCAGAACCGTATTCTAAGTGTCAGGGGGCCCCTGTATGGAGCCCTCAACCTGAACCTGCCCTCAACCGTATATCAATATTCACCCTGAACTGCTGCTCCGCAGGAGAATGCCACGTACGATGGCCAGGATCTCAACACCAGTAACCTGCACATGATCGCACGTGTCGGGGCCTCAGAGGGAATCTTGGGAAGGTGGGGAGATTCCTCCCATGAAGGATTGTTCCAAACTTAGGCCAGCCATCTGTGACTCTCATTCTTTCCTCGTGGTCTGTTGCTGGTCGCGGTCTTCGCGGGGTTCCTGGTTGTAGTGGTCGTTGTGATGGTACCGCTGGTTATGGCGTTCGTAGTCGACTTGGTCGTCGCACTCAAGGTCGTTGGGGTCGTCCTGGTCGTAGTGGTTGCCGCGGTGGTCCCGTGGTCGTCGTGGTCGTCGCAGTCGTCGTGGTGCTCTATTGCTGTCTGGAGATCTACACTGACATGGTATAACACATAAGCCCAACGCCAGGAACCCTACTTGCGAAAGGCCCAAATTATTTGTATGCTTGGAGCATGCTTCTATATAACCCTAAACCCTAAACCCTATACAGGCTTAGTTCTGCCCTCCAACGGCTCGCGAGGATCGGCGTATCTCCTTCAACGATACCCACAAGGCTGGCCGAAGAGCCCGACTTTCCGGGAGGTTTTGGGGCGTCAGCGAGCTGTGAGCAGCGCACTTAGGCCCCTTAAACATCGCAAACCCCGAACCTAAAGTTTGACAGCACTTATCTCATGAACCATAAGCAAGAGCCCTGATCCAAAGCTTCTGTGCAGGTGTACAACCGCCTTGAGGCCATGAAAGTCGCCAAGGCTCGCGAACTTCTCCTGTTGGGGGTGGGGGGTCGGGCTTTCTGGATTGAGTCTCCGGCTTTTTTGCTTGGGAAATACCGGGTTCAGGAGGAGTCTTGGGTTCGTATGAGGAGAAGCAGGTCTCCTCCATTTAGAATCGAGCGGCTTTCTTCTTCTAGCTCAAACCCTATTCTAATGATTAAGGTCCCTGCATGATTGGTAGTCATGTCTGTCACAAAAGTCCGCCCCTCCACGCCGCTGCTCTGACTTGGGCATGATCGTCGGTCCCTAACCTCCTAAACCCCAGACCCCTAAACCCCGGAACCCCCTAACTTTAAACCCCTGAGGGATTGGAGTCTGGTACATCCGAAGCCTTCGTAGACTTCGAAACCTTGTGTTTCGGGAAATCAGCACGTCTTGGCTGCTCTGCTCTCAAGGCTACAGCAAAAACCTGAAACAGCAGACGCTTCGAACGAATCACGGGGTTGGTGTTCTCATCTCTGCTTAGTCAAGGCCTCAAATCAGGTTTCAATACAAATCGCATTTGGGGGTTTGGGGTAAGTAAGTAGAGGGTTCTCTTGCAAAGCAGACCTCTACCTTGGCCTCAGGAGCAGGCACTGGTGCGTGAAAAGGCTGCGGGCTACGTCAAGGCCTACTTCCAACGTTGGGTTGAGGGTCTGGTGTTCAGGGTTCATAAGCAGCAGGTTTGAGGGGTAGGGATGCACGGGGAGGGGTATTTTTCAGGTTATTTTGGTGGTTGGGTCTCAACTGGGAGAGATGTTGTCTCTGCTGGGAGGGATGATGTTGAAGATCAAGATCTTGTTCTCGCATCTATCTATGATCTATGATTGCGTACTTTCCCCAACCATCTGTGCCGATGAGGCATACGAGTTTTTGGATGGCTTGGCCTTGCTGGGGACGAACAAAGGCGAAAGCGGCAAAGCTTCTGCACTTAGTGCAAGTGCCTTGAATGGGGTAGTCCAATCCGGCAAGACGAAGCCCGGCACACGAACCATCACGAACCACTGCAGCTTATGGCGATTCCTGCGGCAAGCATGTTTGGTTGTCCATGCTCGGCAACGGACATCCCAGTCAAATTATTGCCATGTAGCGCCAATTGCAGGACACTGCACGACAGCCTGCAAGGAAAGATTCCTCGTGTACCTGGATTAGGGTATTCATCGTTAATGCCCCAGTCCTAGAGCCTCAGCCCCGAACACCCTGAACCCGCAAATCCCTCGTGCCTGGGCACGCAACCTCAAGCCTAACAAGGCCCAAAGCGCAGCCTGTAGGATCTAGGAGTGAAGCCTTCATCGCAGCGAAGGTAGTCGTGATCGTCATCTCATGAGACCCTCGATCCATACACCCTTACGACAGCTCTGAATCCCAGAACCCCCCCAAAGCCGCACAACCTGAAACCTTTCAGCAGCCCTAAGCCTTAAGCTTTTAGGCCCCAAACAAGGCCCAAATCGTAGACCAAAAACCATGAAAGCATAATATCTCGTATGCCCCAAACACTGAGATGCACAATATAGGTCCCCGCAAAGAAACTCTAGCCCCCGACCCCAAAACCCTAAACCCGGAGCAACCCCGAACCCCAAAACCCGAAGCCTTCAAACGCCTTAAAGGAGCCCTGAACCCTAAACCCGTCCTCAGCATCTCAAAAGGATGGCCGTGACGTGCCGGCAGATGAGCTGATGACGAAGTACAAGAAGTGCCTCGAACCGGGGGAGATTGAATATAGGGGGCTTTTATTTAATGATTAGAACCAGGGTGTGACTGGCATTTTTGCAGGATTAGTAGAGGTGCTTTACTACTTATAAGACAGAGGGTCCTACAATCCGGGAAGAAGGGTACGAAAATGGCCTCAGGGGCCTTGTTGACTGGAGTAGGGAATATGGCATAACTAGGCGCTTCGGGTTTATGTTGTCAGGGTTTACAGGGTAGGCTTCTGTGATTTGGGCTTTAGGACTTTAGGATTTTGGTCTTCGGGTTTAGGGACAGTTTAGACCCCTGACTTGGAACTGCCCCCACGTGCGATCCCGACAGCCTTTGCACCCCTAACCCTAAATTACAAACTCTGAAGCATGGGGCGCCACTACACTCTCAGCTTTGAGCTTGCAGCTGACGGTTTTGCGGCTGAAGGGCCTTGCGATTGTGGAGTCTACAGTTTGGACAAAGGTGCCGATGGTTAGGCAGAGCCCTATGCCCTAATGCTTGACAGCCGAAGTCCTGAATGCAGAATGTTTGAAGCCCCAGACCTCAAACCGTATAGGCGGGTGGGCTGGATGCCGCTTGCGGGAGAATGTCCGACACACTAAAAAAAACCGGCGAGACTCTATGACCCCATCGCGCGACTCCATCCCTTCACGCTCAACCCAGAACTCGCCGATACGAGAAAGCAGGGGCCCCCAAACCCCCTAAGAGCTTCCGATCCGAACCTTGGATATCCCGGTCTGGGAGTCAGTTTCCGAAAATGGGGGACCCTAATATAGTATGAATAGTAGGATCCTTAATATAAGGACCCAAAATAAGGTACCCCTCATTTTCGGAAACTCCCACATGATTCGACATGTTTGGAGCTTACGCCTTCGGGGCAGAATGTAGCAATGAGCGTGGACTTCTCGGCGGCTGAACAGAGCCCTGGGTTGTTCGGGGCTTGGTGTTGTGGGACCAGGTGGGCCTGATCTGCAGCGTCTAGACTCATATCCCTAAACCCCAATCCCTAAAGCCTAAACTCATATTCCTGAACCCCAAGCCCTAAACCTTAAACTCATATTCTCAAACCCTGCCTACCCTAAACCCTAAATTCATATTCCTAAACCCTAGTTCCTAAACCCTAGACTCTTATTCCTAAATCCTGAATCCCAGACCCCGAACCTCTCGATGAACTGAGGACCATCCAGGTGAAGCTAGGTGGACGCCTCAAAGTTGGTGCAGTGCTTGAGGTTTAGGGAGTCCACGGGCATTGGGTTTAAATGGTTTCTGGCGGAGGGTTTAGGGTTTGGGCTGGGAGGAGCTTGAAGTCAGCTGTGTTTGGCTTTCAGGGTGGTTGTGAAATGGTTAGCAGGAACTAACCCAAACCCCAAACCCTAAACCCAAAGTCCCATCTTTCTGCTTGCAGCTCACGGCAGCTGTCATTGGTAAGAGTGACATTGACGGTTTGGGGTTTAGGGGTTTCCTTCCCATCCCTAATAATTAATCAATCTGCACCAAGATGAGCCACAAGACCTCTGGCCCCAGAGTGTAATCGGAAACCCATATCCAGTTTAGGGTTTAGGGTTTAGGGTTTAGGGTTTAGGGTTTAGGGTTTAGGGTTTAGGGTTTAGGGTTCCGGATGTTAAGTTCACCTCCCCCTTTCCATCTGTCGATTCTGCGGGGCTGGCTCGAGACTCTACGGCGGAGTATGATGCCAGTCGGGGAGCAATGAGCAAACCGCAATATCCGAGATCTGCGCTTGAACCTAAACACCAAGCGCCTCAGACCTCATGCCCAAACAGCCCTGGCATTTCGACGCAGGCACAAATCTGTCACCCTTAAGTTTATGAGCATAATAGAGCCTCCATGGTTTCCACAGGTTTAGGGTTCACTGCCCGTATGAATTTAAAAAGATGGCAGAACCTTCACCTAGACCGTGAGGCCAGAAACCCTACCTCATCGGTATCCCAGCAGGTCCACCACCCTGCCTTTCTGCTTTGCCAGCACCCAGGTCTCTGCCGGCCCAAGGGCGTGCGCCCCAGCACGGAGGAAGCGCCGCCCTCCCCCGAGGCCGTAGTGTCCTTTAAGGGTTTCCCTCAGGGGACCTCTATTGTCGGTTGGGGTTAAGGATTTTAGGTTGTAGGCTCGAGAGTTTAGGATTTGATGTTTTGAACTTAGAGTGTGCAATATCAAGAGTTTCAGGGTTTACGGTTTAAGTCTAAGGACGGTGGTGGCAAAAGCCCTAACCCTCGAACCGCCGCAGGTTCCGCAGACGGCGACGCCCTCGAAGCCGCCGCCAGCACCTGTGAATCCAGCGCTCGGGGCTTGGGCTGTTTGGTTTAGGGAAGGGATCGGGGTTTAGGTTTCTACAAACCCTAAATAACCCAAAAATCCCCTATATAAACCCAAAATCACCCCAAAGAATCCCCCTAATCCCTAAACCCAAAATCACCCCAAAGAATCCCCCTAAACCCAACATCACAAAGAATCCCCTAAACCTAAAATCACACCAAAGAATCCCCCGAAACCCTAAACAAGAAGCCCCTTAAAAAGACCACCGCGAAGCTCCACGGGCCACAGCCGGAGCTTGGCCCGGGCGCCTCAGGAGGTCGGCAGATCCCGGACCCCCAGGGCCGAGCCCCGCGGGGCGGATGCCCAGCGCCCAGGCGCGGGGCGGGCGTTTCTTACCAGGTTTAGTTCGTCGTTTATTCATTTACTTTTTAAAGATAATCTTTTGTCCTATGTAGTTTTATATAGTTTTTTGTTTGGGGGGGGGGCGAGGATTTTGGGTTTAGGGCTGAGGGTTTGCAGTTTTTGTGTAGTAGAGATGGGTGTTTGGGAGTTTTCGAAGAGGGTTTGTCTTCCCTATGACCAAAAGCGTAAAGCCCCAGTATTAAGAAATCGAATAGGGTCTAGGGGCTATATTCTAGTACGGTTGGTTTATGATAGGGATTCTAAAAAGGTTTAATAACTACCATTACTGATTGTTGAGCCTTTAAATTGTGCCCTTCAACATTGGATCTTGAAATCCTCATATCTTCAGTGCTGCAAGTTCAGCGGTTGAAATCTTAGATGAGGATAGTAGCGATGTTTACGATGCGACTATGATGCCGTGTCTGCTCCGCCTCCTCCTCCTACTCCTGCCTCCCTCTCCTCCGCCTCCTACTCCTACTCCTACTCCTGCCTCCCTCTCCTCCCTCTCCTCCCTCTCCTCCCTCTCCTCCCTCTCCTCCCTCTCCTCCCTCTCCTCCCTCTCCTCCCTCTCCTCCCTCTCCTCCCTCTCCTCCTCCTCCTGCTCCTCCGGCTCTTCTTCGAGTAGCCACGAATTACTGCTACTAAGGCCTTTCAGAGCCTTACACGTCCGTGATAAGTATTACGCGACCCCCGAGCCTCTACATGATTGATTGCCCCGGAAACTCAAGCCTCACTCTGACCTCTGAACCCTTCACCAAAAAGCTCTGAAGCCATGCATCCAAATCGCTGATAACTCCTAGCCCAAATTAAACCCTGTGCTTCCAAAGCCCATTAAAGCCGCTAACCGCGACGTAAACTAGGATGCCCTTATTCCTTTTTTGTAGTCCTAGGTTCCTTATAAAGTTACCCAATACCAAAAAGAGAGGCCTTTTTATTCTTAGGTTACTGGGTATCCTAGTAAACATTTCACCCCAATCCCTGCACCCAAAACCTCAAGCCCAAAACTTCAGACCACGCTCGCCCCTCACGCACAAACAAATTAAATTCAAGAGTCTTACCAAAACAATATCTTGAACCCTTCAATCTCTGAACTTTCCCTGGAGAATCCTATCGGGGGGTTTCCGCGAATAAGGAACCTGTGTAGAGCTTTTGTAAGGAACCGTAAGGTACCCTTAAGTTTCGGAAACTCCCACATAGAACCTCTACGAGCTCTGAACGACCGGAGAGATTTCGAGTCGCAGGGAGCTCCCCCGCCGTTGAGTCCCTCACCGCAGCCGGCGAAGCGAAAAACCCTGGAGAGGCCAGGGATCCTTCGTTTTTTTGGGGGGAAGGGTACAGATGTTAAGGGCTTAACGTTTGGGGGTCTAGGGATGTTAAGGGCTTAAAGGTTTCGCGGTGGGGTTACAGGTTCTGGCGTTTAGAGCTTAAGGTTCAGCGGTTCAAGTACTTTGGCGAGGCAGCGATTGGGTTTCGGTAGACCTTCAACTCAGGGCGGTGAGGTCCTCGCGGGTAGGGGTCTAGTGCGGAGTTTCTCGGGTCAGGTCTCGAATTTAGGGTTTAGGGGGGTTTACAGTCTACGGTTCAGGGCTTAGGGCTTACCTGTAGCCGAAAAGATCGGCTACAGGTACAGCTTATAGGGGCTTAGATCCCCAATTTGGGTTTAGGGCACCCCGGAGCCAGGCCCAACTTGGCGGCAACGCCGCAGCGCGAGCCGTCCCAGATGCCAGGTGAGATCCTCAGAGCTGCTTCGAAACCTCTTCTACTGTTGATGATATAAATCCTGTATTATGTCAAGGACCCTAAGCTATGGGAATTCTGGTACATGCCTTATTATGGGTCATGCAGGAATTTATATCATCAGCCGTTGCAGGGCTGACAGGGTTTGCAGAGGGCTTAGGCTGCTTCGTAGTAGGGTTTAGGGGTGAGGCTTCAGAGTCCCTCTTTTCCTGGACCCTGAGGAACCTACCTTTTTAGGGTTCCCTAATATCATTTCTTTATATAAGTCCTTAAAAAGGTAGGTTACTTGGGGTTAAGGTTCACACTGGCATAATATGCCATGATTGTCTTTAGGGCTCCAGAAGCACAAGGTCACCTTACAGCCCGTAGTGTCATAGGAATAAAGTATACCACTACTATCCTCAGTGGCTCCGTGGAAGGGTTCTATACTACAAGGCCAGTGTAGGGAGTGTAGGGTTGTCGGGTTCGCAAGTTGAAGAGGCGGTTTAGGCTGGGGGGAGTGCGGGTTTAGGTTTTGCTGTTGGTGTCATATAGGCTTTGGGATTTACGCGAAGAGGGAGTGGAGCTTAAGGTTGAGTGCGTAGAAACTGCCAGCCCCGGTAAGTAGGCTTTAAGGCATTTGATTCAGAAGTGTCGCGTTCGGGATTTTCAGTTTGGGAACGTCTTCGAGTCTAGGCAAGCTTGCCGGTGAGTGGCTGTTCCGAACGAATAGCCGAAGATTTGTGTCCCGGAGCTAGCGACCATAACATATCGGTCCGATGTGGTTTTCTCACTATGAGGGAGGTTCATGTGTCCGGAAGCTGCCAAATCCAGAATTGTCCCGGCGACTCCGTGGCACATGTCGACCTTCGACTAGTCCAGCAGTGTAGCCTGGCAGAACACCAGCAAGCACAGCAGTAGATACAGCAACATATCTGACTTTCACTAAGCTTCGACTCTTCCATTTGTTCCATCGCCACATGGACACTTAAACTAAAGTGACCTGCAACATCGAATGACGACAGGCAGCAGAATTATTTGTAACACTATGACTATCACCTTAGAGTCCCCTTTTTTCTCTGGCTTCGAGAAAGTATACCGCAAAGCCAGCAGTGTAGCTTGCAAGCGAACATGCGGAGTAGAGTAATTACTTCTTCATGGCTGTAAAGTCTCCTGCACCTCCCATGGTGCCGGAACGACACTGACCCTCAAACCGTGAAGCCCTAAGCCATAAACCCTAAACCGTAAGTGAACCCTCAACCCACATGCCGTTGCTTCGCAGTCCTGCAGTTTTCGGGTGTGATGTCGGACTCATAAGCCCTCACCTTGCGTAAGGATGCTAATCGGGGTCCTTACAGTAAGCTTTGAAAAGAGAGGGGGATTAATCAGGCTCTTGTGAATTGCACAGACCCTATACAAAGTTTCACCAAGAGTTTTTAATTACGAAACCCCTTACGAGACCTTTAGGAGGCCTTACAGACAGCTTCAAAGCCCTGTTACTTGAACACCGAACCACTTTGCAAGCCAAAATCCTCAACACTAAACCCGAATACCTAAACCCTAAACACTTCTTTCAAAAAGAAACCCTAAACACTGAACCCCAAACCCGAAATCCTAAACCCTAAACACTGAACCCGAAAACCACAACCCTAAACACTGGAGGTACGGGCGCGGGCACGCCAGGGCTCCCGTTGCCCCCGCCACTGCCAGTGCCTGGACGAGGGCCGGGGCCCTAACCCATAGTCTCCTTAGGATTTTTTTATTCTTCTTTAATCATTTAAAGCCCAAGAGAATATTCAAAGTTATACGGTGCTTTTTTTAAAAAAAGTTTTTTGTTCATATAAAACCCAAGAGACTATTACATAAATCTAGTATATTTTATTAGGGTTCCAAGGGCGGTAAAGTATAGGGCTTAGGGTTTGCATGGGGTTGAGGGTTGGGGGTTCCAGGGTTTCGGGGGTTGGGGCTTTCGGATTTGAGGGTTTTGGGTTTATAATATCTAAAGACTATGTTTCCGTATGTATAAGTGTATGTAACCTTCAACTCTACAGCACTCAACAAAACCCTAAACTCCAAACTCTACAGCCCCAGCCCAGTTGTTCGGACTCTAAATCATAAGGCCTTGACCTTCAACCCCAACTCCAAAACTCAAAACCCAACAGCCAATGAGCCAATAAAAGCAACGCCAGATGAGTCCTAAACCCCGAACCCTCAATCTAAACCCAAAACTTCCCCAAACCCTGAACCCTAAACCTAAACTTACCTAATCCCTAAAGCCCAACACCCCATGAGCAAAAAAAGCAACGCCCCATTGGCTATCCTCCCAGGGCCTTTGCCTCACCAAACCCGGTGTTGCTGGGCGCAGGTCGGGGGTCTCTGAAAATGGGCGAAGCTCCACCGCTCAATAGATTGGGTTTAGGGCTCAGGGTTCGAGTTTAGGGTTTGGGGTTGGGGACTCGGACTCGGGGTGCGTTTTTGGGGTGGTTCAGGTTTGAATAGGGTCTTGTGTTGCAACCTTGGGATGTTCTTGATGTTGAGTTTGAGTTGAGGTCTTGGGTTTGGCTTGGAGGGTTCTGATCCAGGCTTTTATGATCAGGCCATCGTCGTCTACAACACCAACACTCTTATGATCACGGTCATCATCTTCGCCGTCATGAACATAATTCGTTGCAGGCGATTTCAGCATGCTCATTTTGATCGTCGCGGGAAGCGCGACAATCACGGACTATGCACTACGTTTGCACCGAGGAGTATTCCTATGAAACCGAAAAGAGCAACCCTGCACACTGAACCTCAATTCCTACACCCGAAACCCTAACATCAACAACCCAGACCCCCGGGAGGAGCTAGAAAGTAGATCCCCTAATTTGGGGCCCTATACTACTAAGGGTACTTTATAGGAACCCCCATTAAGGGATCTACTTTTTGGATCCTCTCGGGGGTCTGGGAACTCTGGAGCCTAAGCGCCAAGCCCAAAGCCCAGGCCGCGGCGATCGAGAGTTTAACCCCCCTTGGCAAACTGAAGAGGGTCTACCTAGACCCCCCAAAGAAAATAAAATAATGGCCCAAAACCTATAAAAGGCTGTTATTCTACATACTTTTGGGGTCCAGGTAGGGGCTTCGGGCCAGTATTCACACGATCCCTCTAAGCTCTCGTACCTTGAGCCCTCCGGATTGGCGGTTCATCTTCTAGCAGTCGATAGTCGTTTGTGGCTGTTCGGTTGGCGGTCTTGCCTTCAGTACCCGATGTCCTGATACTTACAAGCCGTAGCAGAATCAATGCTGTTTGTTTGCTTATGGTGAGGATCCTACATCAGCCCTTAACCCCAAGCCTAAACCATAAACTCTATACCCTTAAACCCCAAAGCATTGATAGTCCCTAAACCAGAAGCCCTTAAACCCAAAGCCCCGGAACCTTGAACCGGTGGGGGCAGGGGAGGGTGCGATTGCCAACACGTCTCGTGGAGCTGTCAGGCACTCCGACTTCCGCTACATCAAACGGGCTGGGCCCAGAGAACGCATGACTTATGACTACAGGGGGCTCGAACAATTAGAATGGGTTGTGTAGGTTTTTTTCGACATGGCTTTATAGGGTCTATAAAGGCTGAAGCACGAACAGCGATTTCTGGGTGTTGGGTGCGAGGATTTCCGCGGAAGCTTGGTTTCGTGACTTAGTGCAGGGCTTCGGTCTTTAATCTTACCTTTGGTTAGTAGGGAATGGAGGAATGGGGTACAATTATAACTAGTATTACTACCGTACTACCATTCTTCCATTCCGTACTAACCGAAGGTAAGCAATCCGTGGATTGTGGAGTTGTCTTTCAGAACGTGTTGCGTAAGCTGTTGTCTGTTGGGGTTCTCAGGTCTCTGCACTAAATCCTAAAACCCCAGCTGCTAAGCCTTCTCAGCTTGGCAGCAGAAGGGTTCGGGCATTGAAATTTACAAGCTTTTATCTTCAGCCCTACACCACAAAAACTTGCAGGGCCGTGTCTCTGGGTCTTAGGATCATAGGCTTTTTCAGAAAGGGTTTTTAGGTTTTAAAAACCTATAACCTAAAAACCTATGTTTTTTTGAAAAACCTATGGTGGAGGGTTTTTCTTGTCAGATGTCTGGCTCTCGGAGCCCTCCTCCGGAGCTCAAACAGGCTTAGAGTTTAGGGTGAACGGTTGGCCCTAAGCCCTGAACCGTAAAGCCCAAAGCCAAAACACGCTGCCGTGTAGATCTTAAACCGTCAATTGAAGCCCCAAATTGCCGCAAGTAGCCTGAACCTCATTTCCGAAGAAGCAATTACAACAGGTTTTTGTGGCTTCTAATTTAGGATGCTATGGGGGTACATCTATTATGGTACACTTCGAATCAGGCCTTAATGCAAAACCTTCGCCGGTCGGATAGATTGGGCGGAGAGCTGGTGATTCCATCCTGCCTTCTTGGTGTGTTCTTCGGGTTCAGGGCATCGTGGCATCGTGTTTGGGGCTTCAGAGTCTCAATGGGCAATAGTAGTAGATGTTTTTCAACCGTTAGAGTGGGCTTTCGAGCGATTGAAAACGTGACGCTTTCCAAAACTCGTCACACCCATCTCCTCCTTCCCCCCTCCTGCACATGCCGTGGTTGCTCTTAGCCTGTCATTTTTTCTCAACAGCCCGAAAGCCGCAACCGTAGGCCACAGACTTCAAGTCCCTACACACATGCCGTCTGTAGTGAAGCCCTATTTACATGTTTCGAGGATCGGTGAGAGGGGACAGAAGCATCTAAAGGCAGAGACCTAGAAGAGACGGAGCCTCACAGCATCAAGAACGCTCAGCATTAGAGTAGAAGTAAGCAAGACAGATCCACATCCCAGCGCTTCGATCTCTTGGCGCGTGCTTTTCGGCCCATGGAAGCTTATTAGTAGCAGTAGGGCTCCCTCATTGGGGGGCTTGGGTTTCGGGTTTAGAATTTCAGGGTCTTGGGTTGTCCCGGCCCTAAAAACCCAACCATCTCCCTCCTACCCTAGAAACATCCACAGTCATAGGAGATCGGGCCGATCGATTGTGAGCAATTCCCGGCCCAGTTCGACCCTTGAAGCTCAAACAGGAGGAAGTGGCGAATTCGGGTTCTTTACACCTCAGAGCCCCCAAACGTGATAGGCCCTTACCGAACCCTATACTTACCCCTAAACCCCTAAACCCTCAACCGCTTACATACGCCCCTAAATGGTTCCGGGGGTCCCTCCCGCAACACGGATGGCGCGCTGGCGGCACGACATCTGAGCGGAAGGCTCCATGAAATTCACTCGCTTCGCGCTCCTGGTGCCTGATTTATGCCGAAGAGATCGTGCTTGTGGGGCTTCGGGCTGACGCGCGGGTGCTTGCAGTGAGGGCTGACGGGTGCTTTTGAGGCCCTTCAGGCTTCAAGGCGAGGGCTGAGAGTAGAGGCGGTTAAGGCATTCGGTAGAGGCTGTTGGGTTCTTAGGGCGTGCGGTTGAAGGTATGAGTATGACGTTTCGGCTTCAGGGTTCGGGGTAGAAGGATTTAGGGTTTAGGGTTGAGGACCTAGGGTTTACGGCTTAGTGGTTTAGGCTCCGAGGCATCCGATGGGTTCTTGTTCGGGGAGCCTTCGCTTCAGCTCCGACAGGGAGAATCCTCAACGACTCATTCATTGGGTTTAGGGTTTGGGCGTCTGCACCAGGCACCCCCCCCCCCCCCCAAGTAATGGAGGAGCCTCCAAGGGTCAGCAAACAGCCTCCAAACCATTCATATCCGAAAGCCACCAGCATGATGTTGCCGGCGCGGGTCAGTGTGTCGCATACACTTTCCTGCCCCTAAACCCAAGGCCCGAAACCCTATTTCTAAGTTCAAAAGCACTACACCCTCGATCTTACATCTTATGCCCAGAGAACTGAGGCTTTGGATTTTCGCCACCTTGGCCACCTGTGCAAAGAGCTTGGAGGCGGTTCAAGAGCAGAGGGTCTTGAGGTCAAGGCAGCTACCCTAAACCTTAAACCGGAGACGCATAATCCTCAAGCCGTTAAGCCGTAAACTTAAACCCTAAACCCCAAGTGCGAGCCTTCAGCCCCAAGCCGTAAACTGGAGCCCTAACGTCAAGGCAACTCATCAGGGGCAGTGTAGAAGGTTGCAGTACTTGGCGTTCAGGTTTCAAGGAGTTGCGGGGGAGGGAGGGTTCGGGATTGTAGGGTGTAGGGTTTGAGAGGCTGGTGACTTTTTGGAGTTTTTGCTTTCAGGGTTCTGAGTTTCCGTTTCTTGGGGATTCCAGGGCTTGTGGTGTGGGCTGCATCTGGGCTTGAGCATCTGGCGGGATTTTTTTCTGATGTTTCTTGTAACTTAGAGCTTGTTTTAAGCGAATCTGAGTTTAGAAGCTCGAAGGTTACCAATCAATCATTCCTTCGGTTCCTCTTACAACGATGTAATATACGTAGCCCCAGGCCCTATTCTGATTATTAAGGTGCTTTCAAGACTTCAGCACAAAGCTCGTTAACCCAAGCCTAGATAGGGTGTAAGGTTTAGGCTACACCCCAGACCCCAAACTTCAGAAATACAAACCCTCAAGCCCCGCACCCTGCTCAACCCGAAACCCTAAACTCCTGGACCCCTATGAAACTTTTTTGGGTCGGTCTCCTTTTCAGATATCGTTATATAGGTCTCTCGTGAGGTTGGTTGATTCGGGGTTCAGGTAGACTCTAAATCTTTCACCTCAATCCCCGAACTTGCCCCTCTTGTCGGAAGGCGCGGCAGCCTGTAGTGCTGCACCTCGATGCTTCAGGCGCATCTCCACTTTAGGGTGTAGGCTTTGGGTTTTTTAGCTTTAGGCTTTGGGGTCTATGATTTATGATGTAGGGTTCATGTCCATGGCTTCGCATCCGACGTGCAGTGTTCCGGGTGTAATCGTCAACCGCTATCCCTATAAACCCTAACCGGGTTCGTCTAACCCCAGCCATAGATGACATGCCTTGCAGGTGATAAGAGCGCCGAACCCTTCATCGAGATCCTTTTATGAAGGGCCCCTAGAGCTAGGATCTTCAGAGGCGTCATATAGGTTTAGTACAAGATCACCATCGAATAACCGAAACTAGGCTTTCGAGCTACTGCGGCTTTTCATACTCATCCGAAAGTCTTTGGTTTAGGGGTATGGGGCCCTAAACCCCCAAGCCCGAAACCCTAAAGCCTTCCGCCATCCGATCAGATTTCCAATGGTCCTCAGCGGAAGCAGCCGGGCGCCGGCTAGCTGAGAGGTCGGCGGACATGGACTCCATGGGGCTCAGGGTTTAGAGCCCTAAACTTTCGGTTTAGGGTTTCGGCTTTAGGGTTTAGGGTTCAGGGGCCCTGAGCCCTGAACCTTAAGGGGGGTTTTAGGGTTTGAGTTTTTTGA